GAGGTAGAAATAGTTCCACTACTGATGTCTTCCGCCTTACTCCAGCCACAGTAGTGGCTCGTCCTACAGAGTTCCTTTGCGCAAGTTTTTTAGTCAAATGACTACAAAAAGGTTACTGGCCTATAGCTCCCTTAATTTACACATAAACTGACCCAAAACAGTACTGCACATAGCTTAACATATAATAAATCAATTCCCATTGAAATAAAGGTGAAGCCTTACCGCATAATTATATGATTTGATGAACCCAACTGCTACGCGAAATTTCAACTGGCCGGTGGCATGGTGGCTTGCGTAATACGTCATTACAAGGAACATCGCTATGCAATATGTAGAACGCATAACCACAAAGAAAATCTGTTCGGTGACTATTTTAGTGGTCCAGTCTTCACTATTTTTCATAGAATTACTTATTCCAATACAAACTGTAATGATATGTGTTGACAATTGTGCGTTTGAACCTATTTGAACGTTACAAGTATAGTAACTAGTCTGGAGGTGTGCGGGTTTGCTCTCGGTGTTGGCCGCGAGAATGTTTATCTGGATTTCCGGCGTGCTTTCCCTTGTAAGTGGTGCAGTAGGCCTACAGAGGGCTCGACTTGGACAACTATCGAGTCATTTCAATGGGACAAAAAACTAAGGCCCCATGTACACATTGCCCAGCCGAGGCAGGACGTTAAACTCCATTTCATTTCTGTTGGGAGCCGAAATGTTTGAATCTTTTAGTTAAATAACAGTAAAATATCATTTTAAGTCTTCTTTTGAAAAACTTGTTATGTTATTCATGGAGGGGTGTAGCAGGAAACCTTTCATCTTATGACGTCAATATATGGTTAGGACCCAAAATGGCGTCTGTAAATGAGTTGTCGTAAATTTCCCTATACAGGGCTTTGAGCTATATGGCGCCATGACGTTATAGTTTTTATGGCGTCATAGTTGGGACCCAAAATGGCGCCTGTACATGAGTTGTCGATAATCCAGATAGGATAACGCCAAATGGTTAATAAGCTATCGATTTAGGAACTAATCGGAATTATTCAGCTATGTAAATGTACAAACTATAATACGTAAACCCCTACCAAAATGCAAACAGGTATGCTGAAGAAATCGTACTATAAACATGTATTTATATAAAGGCATAAAATAAGGGCGATAATCCAGATAGGATTAGGAAACTACAGAAAATCATTTATAGTGCCAGAATTTTCTTTATTTAATATAAGTTCTGGGGGATATATTTCACTTTTCTATTTGTTGAAAGTTCCCTTATCATTGATAGGTGTTATGTCATCAATGTATCGGAAGGTATAGTTTAGACTTTTAGCTACTTTGTAATCAGTTTTTCGTTTATGATCCTGAAAGCAGAATTCATATTTATATAAATGTGTGTTTGCCATAAATGGGGCGGGGTCAGTTCCCATTGGTAAACCAATAGTTTGCTGTATTATCCGATCCTCAACCTCAAATATGGCATTGTCAATGAGAAAATGTATAATGTTTTGAATTTTTTCTTTATCAAAAATTACAGTGTCGGCATTGCGACGTTTCTATACGCCCACATTTTCATGTTCTCAAATGTTCGTTCGTTCTCAAATAGCGTAAAGATATGGTATATCAAGGTTGTTGACCCTATAGAGGTCACAATTTTTATTCGATTTTGTTGAAACATGAAATGTAAGTTTATAACCCAAAGATCTCGGATCCTGTCGATATTCGCACATATCGGACGGTAACTTCCTGAACTATGGCCCCTGATTGTACGAAAAATCACGTTTTTAGCTTGTGGACCCTATAGAGATCATAATTTTTATCCGATTTAAAAAAAAAACGTTTTATTGTATCACCGTTACACCCTAAGGACGGCTGGGTTCGAATTTTGTGAAAATTGGCCCAAAACTGACAGGCAAAATGGCCGCCCCTCGTTCTCAAATAGCGTAAAAATATGGTATATCAAGATTGTGGACCCCATAGAGGTCACAATTTTTATCCGATTTTGTTGGAACTTGAAATATAAGTTTATAACCCAAAGATCTCGGTTCCTTTCGATATTTACTGAATTATGGCCCTTAATTGTAGAAAAAAATCACTTTCTTTTTAGCTTGTTCTCTATCCATCTTTCGAAAATGTGGGCGTATTTTTGCCTTTCCCGAAAGCTCCATTAAAAACTTTATCAACAAACCAATCCAAATTATCTTTAAGATCTGAATGTTGAAGCATAGTATACAAAGTAGAAAAATCAAAAGTTTCTATTGTTTTTGCATTAATTTTTTTTATTGATTTTGTCGAAAGTTTCTACGATGGGTTTTGCATAGTTTAAGCCCTTTGGTAATATTTTATCCAATGGTTTTGTTTGGCAGTTACTGGAGGATATTATGTACCTGAATTTTACTTGGTTTTTTTTTATGGAATTTAGGTATAGAATAAATGTAAGGTAGTCCATCTATTTTAATATTATCTTTAATATCATTACTTCTGTTGAAAGTATATTGATTATGTAAAATATCTAGTTTAAGGTTAGCAACAATATTGCTTTTACTTGTAAAAAATACTATCTTAGAAATATTCTTACTGATATTGGACTTTGGCCCAATGCTAAAAATGACACTAATAAATGCATTAATGTGACTATATTATCCATATAAATAAAATCAAAGATGTGTGTATGTTCGCCCATCGAATTTGGGCCCGAGCGAATCACGCTTCGTTGCCGCTCTGTAACCACATATATGTGGTATCAAATTAACCAGTATGACCCCATGAATGTTTTTTGTCATCGAATTTGTGCCACGGGCCTATTTGGGCCCCTGACTAATTTTGCCCCTGGTGCAATTGGTTTCCGTGCGAGAATTTGGCCCTGGGCGAATTTGGAAGCCGGGCGATTTGGGGCTTTCTACTAGTTATCTTTATAAGTAAAATCAAAGATATCACGCTTCGTCGCCGGTGTAAGGTTCAAAATATACATTATAGACAAATTGTGGTCTGTTTAGGTTATTTTGACAGGGGTTCGTTTCCTTTGGCCATTTGATAGTTCCGAAATTCTGATTGTCCACAAATAGGATTTTAGTGATGAAAGTTTTCCTTTCATTTACTATGTATACGTGTGTCTTTAAGAGATACCCCGGTTACATAGTGCAGCCGCGATCCACATCCACATATGTGGTATCAAAGTAACCAGTATGACCCTTGAATGTTTTAGGCCATCGAATCTAGGCCCGGGGCGATATAACAATTCATCGCCGCGCTCCACACCCAAAGTGCGATTGCGGCTACGAGCGCTGAACCTATAGGTTTTCACTCCAAGAAGGCGTACACACAACAGATGCACGACCATTCGCGACTGGTGGTCGACAAGCTTGAGCCTTATACACAACTCTGTAGAGCGCTTGGTCATCCAACACCCCATCGTCTGTTTCAACTTGCAGTGTGCTATTGGCTATTGTTTTGACTTCCAACAGTAAGATGGGTCTTAAACCTGTTGCCAATGTGAAATAACCCTTCATTCGATTACTGATATCAAATAAAATAGTGTTGAGTTTGACTAAGCACAAACCAGGCCATTTCAGGACAATTCTATGAAAACTTTAATTATATTCGTGCACGTGCAGGTCCTTCCGGAAACTTTCGGAAATTACCAAGGCCTTCCAATTTTCCCCGAACATGAATATAGTTCTCTCCATTTTCAAAATAGACTAAAAATGACATATGGTAGTGCTAGCCCCAGATATTATCCTTCATTTTCTGAGACCTACTTTCATAAAATTTTCAACCCTTTCTCCGCCATATTGAATTTTACAAACACACTTCAAATCAATATTCAGGCGATTTACGAAAACCTTTTTTTGTTTTGAACTTACTCCAAATGGCAGCAATTCTAATGGAGCCGATTTTTTTATTTCGATTTCGTTTACTTCCGTTTCAGTGACCCTTGAACTTTGCATAATGATGACCCTGGCGTCTACTAACAACAAATATCAAAAAGATCGGTCTTTAAGTATACTTTCCAGTTTTATTAAAGTAGCTATGTCTCTAACTCAATATCATCCAAAACCTTCGACATTGAAAACACGAATTATTTGTCAATTTAAATCAACATTGATGTTGTGATCTTACCGGGAAAAGGCAGGCTTCTGATATCCAATATTTTAAGACAAGATAAATATTTTACCATTGGTACACGAATCGTGTACCATAATGCGTTTGAGCGCCATTTGTAACAAGGGACACGAAGAACGAGTGTAGACATATTCCACGAATCATGTCAAACGGTGACGCCATATTTTTATCTGGAGAGGATGCGCAATAAATACTGTCGGTGCAGACTGGAATAACCAGACACTAGAGATTGCCATTCGATTCAGACCTCTGCCGTATGTCGCCGATCATGACTGGTTTGACATTAGTGTAAAATCGGAAGCGATTGAATGTAAATCGGTTTATATACATGCATATTAAATTATTTTATGCGTTGTGACCCACTTTAATAGGTATTGGATGTTACTATACTCAATAGTTCATTGCGTAACTTGATTGTTGACGTGACAAGGCGTGTCCTGGCATACCGAAACACGTCAGTACTCCTTCGGAGTTCTAGTTTAGTATTAAAGTCGGTGATCGCCATTTGCATTTGGTGGACAATATATAATTTGTCACAGCTTAATCCACGTTATTTAACATTTAATTAAGAACACATTATCAAAATACCAACGGTAGATAACCTTCCGGCTTGGATTCAATCGGATCGAAAAGAGGCGCACCAAAAGGTTTCATCAAACATTATAGACGTCTGTAGATGAATGTCGATTGTTGATAAATTTCCAAGTCATCATATCTATGTAAATTCTGAACGGATTTTGAAAACGATAACGTATGAGACGCCCAAATCTCGAAATCAATGCTGGACTGTATGTCGTTACGTGGAATAACATAGATAGCCAGAAACTGGAGTTGGATCCGCAACATTGAATCAAACAAAAGAATTTGGTAAAATAATATTTACTTACGTCGCTCTGGTTAGCTGTGGTGTTAATATATCACAATAGAATAGACTGAATTCTTGATTCAAATAATACCTTGGATATATTTAGATTACAATAGAAGAAATAATATTTACTTACGTCGCTCTGGTTAGCTGTGGTGTTAATATATCACAATAGAATAGATTGAATTCTTGATTCAAATAATACCTTGGAGATATTTAGATTACAATAGAAGAAAAAAAATAGTGACAATGATAAAGGAGGGTCTAGAGCAAAAGTGATCTAACAACCAACTAAAATGGTTGGTAGTTAGATCACTTGTGCTCTAGACCCTAACTATATATTTTTACTTGTGGTTACAATCATATAATATTTATCCACTTGAAATGGGTAGACATTGCTTTATTATTATGTAAGAAATATTATACTGAACCATATACACATTGTAAATACAACACGCCAATACATGACACTCATTTTAAAATTATTAGCTTATCCTAAGCATAAAATGGTCTTTAGCGACACTAATAGCTATGTTACTGATGTAATGTATCATTACATAATGTTTCCTAAACTTAAACCTGAAACCTCCCGTATTTTTATACGCCCACATTTTCAATTGGACGTATATTGTCGTCGCCCCTGTCCGTCCGTCCACAGTTGTTTGTGGACACTCTACAGGTCACAATTCTTATCCGATTTTGACGAAACTTGATGTATAGGTTTATCTCCAAAATATCTCGGTTGCTTTCGATATTGGCAGGTTTCGGATCCAAACTTCATGGGTTATGGCCCCTGATGGTACGAAAAATCACGTTTTTAGCTTGTGGAACCTATATAGGTTACAATTTTAAACCGATTTTGATGAAACTTGAAATACATGTTTATAACCCAAAGATCCTGGTTCCTTTCGATATTTGCGCATATCGGATCGTAATTTCCTGAATTATGGCCCATGATTGTTCGAAAAATCGCCCTTTTTAGCTTGTTGTCCTTCTGGAGGTCACAATTATTATCCAATTAAAAAACGGTTTGATTATATCACCGTTTTGAAGGTTGAGTTCCAATGTCGTGAAAATAAAGATCTTGGTTCCTTTTGATAACCACACATATCTGAATATAACTTCCTGGATTCTGGCCCCTGATTGGATCTGCAAGCTACAAAATGCAATTTTTAGAGAGAGAGAGAGAAAATGGGGTTTAACGTCCACTCGACACAAACTAGGTCATTTCGAGACTAACACATGGTTCAATTTTATTTCAATAATTCGCTCGCGCGTAGGGGTCTTTAGCAGTGGGAGGAAACCGGAGGGCCCAGAGAAAACCCAGGAGGTTGGACAGGTGACCCTACTCCTTGTCACATACAGCCGGGGAATCGAAACCCCGCCAGTTGACTCAATAACAGACCGTATGATACAGAGCAGCACGCACGCGCTAACCATTCGGTCATCCATTCGGTCTAGAGGGTTCACAACCTAGATATACCTGATGTTATACACTATTTGCGTACGAGGGGCGGCCATTTTGTCCGGCAGTTTTGGCCGGATTTTCACGAAATTCGAACTCAATTAACATTACGGTGTAACAGTGATATATCTAAACGTTTTTTTTTAAATCGGATAATAATTGTGACCTCTAGAGGGACCTCAAGCTAAAAACGCAATTTTTCGGACAATCAGGGGCCATAATTCAGGAAGTTACTATCCGATACATGCCAATATCGACAGGAACCGGGATCTTAGGGAGATAAACCTATATTTCAAGTTTCGTTGAAATCGGATAAAAATTGTGACCTATAGAGTGTCCACAAACAAATTGTTGTGCGCAAATTGTGTAGACGTGTGTAATACGAAGGTTGTGGACCCTCTAGAGGTCACAATTTTTATCCAATTTTGATGAAACTTAAAACATATCTTTATATCCCAACGATATCTGCCCCTTTCGATATTTGCACAATCACGATTGTTTTTAGCTTGTTCTCTATCCATCTTTTGCAAAATGTGGGCGTATCCTGTCTGGCAACCGCTGGTTATCCAATTTCGATGAAACTTAAAGCACATCTTTATATTCCAAACATCTCAGTCCCTTTTGATATTTGCGCATTTCAGACCATAACTTTCTGGATTATGACCCCTGATTGTACAAAAAAATCAATTTTTGTTTTTAGCTTGTTCTCTATCAATCTCTTGCAAAATGTGGGCGTATCCTGTCGGGCAGCCGCTGATATTATTATTCTATCAGATAAGCCCTGCCCCCATAAACAAAATCGCTCACTCGATATAGACGACGATATATTATTGTCACCTGACGCGATGCGTCGACTGGAACCTTTGACCGGGTGATCAAATTCGCTCGTGTTCCCTTGTTCAGCGTATATTGTCGGTCGAACCATTTTTATTAGCCAATCGGAGACATGATTGATATCACATGATCTCAAAATGTCTGTATCACAAGTTTCGAGTTGTCCAACGAGCCATTCTAGGTGTTCTGCATGCGTTTTATTTTTATCATATAAATTGCAAGCTACAACAACAATCTTACGATTTCGGCGATTCGCCATTTAGAACAAGTCACGTGATCGACGTTATTTACAAACACACTCGAGACGACCGCTACGTGTGCCCGTTGGTGATCGGCCGTAAAAAAATCGCTGGCGAATTTTAATCGGCGCGACCAGGCGAAAAAATACGCTCGTCTGCCCTTAGCATCGAAATCACAAACAAACGAGTGTATTGTATTTGTATTTAGTTAGTTACATCAGTGTATCTCAAAATTAGTCCGTAAAAACCACCCTCGCAAAATAAACAAAACGAAAGCAACAAAAAAACAGGGCCCAGAAGAAAAAAACTAAAGTCTAAAACTAAATACTCCCCAAGAGTGTATTGCGGGTGCGGCGTTGGAAGCAGCGGGGGCAACAGGCGGTCCCTTGCCACTCCTGAAGGGCAAATCTTCCCTATTATCTCCCGCCACCTTCCTGGAAGACCCCCGCCTGCATTCGGATCCACTGTCGAGTCCTCCTCTTGCTAGGGGACTCTCGGCGAGGGAGAGAAAGGGGCATCAACGGAACCGGCCTTCCCTGGGGACTAAGATGGGATCCCCTAGAGACGGTTGATCCCCTACTCTCCCCTACCCGTCCTCCAGTTTCTCCCCTACTTTCCCCTACCCGTCCTCCAGTTTCAAGAGGGCAAGGGAGAGAAGGAGGAAGTCCAAATCCCCTGTGGCAGAAGAGTGGCCTCCGGAGTCCTTGGAGCCCCCACACCCCACGGTCCTAGGGCTGAAGTGACTGGCAAGGGTGACCCAGGTCTCCTAACTGCCAGTCCCGGTCCTCTCCCACTGGCTCGGGGAAAATACCGGACACGCCCCACCCCCCCGGATACACTCCCCCTCAGCCGAGGCCAGACGCTGGCGCCTCTAGCACCTGGGCCTCCGCCCCAGCCCCCGGAACCACTCAAATTGGACCAGGGCAAAGACGTCGAGTTCTCCCCGTTTCCCCCCGCCCCTCCCCAAGGGTCAACGGATGGGTATTGGGTTCCATCTGAAATACAAAAACCATTAGAAATCGTGTACAAACTCAGTTTACAGAGTCCTCCTTTCCGGGGAACCCCTACCCAAAATCTAAGAGAACCTCTCCCGGAAAATCTTCTGATCCCCTGGGGAAAATATCCTAATAAAGTGGCAAAAACCCTCCAATGTGTTAACAGGGCTGGTTGTTTTAAGGGGTGGAGGGTAAAATCTTTAATCGGAATCCACCCAGGCTGTTTTGCAAATTCCCTAAAAGCCATAAAGGTTTCCCGATCTACTCTACTGTCTGCCCATATCGACTTATCCCTATTTAGCTTGTCCATAACCCCTACAAGGACTCTCCTGCTGTTGTAATCGCTCGAGCCAGAGGATGCACCACTAACACCCGTTTACTCACAATCTTTATCAAATGCATGAATTTTTAAAGAGTTGGCTTTATATCTACGCCCTGGAACTGGACATAGCGAGGCCTTTACTAATCTAAATCTCGGGACCCGCTCCCACGGTGGTTCCCGGGCATCGGAAATTTGTTTTATCCAAATCTCTTTAAAGCCTACTGCGCGATTCTACTCGAACAGATTCATTATAAGTCAATCTCTTCTTTGGTAGCACCGGAGCTTGATGGACAGCCGTAGGTACATCATGATTTAATCGCAATAGTTCGGAGACTAAAGGGCTTCGGCACTACTAATTAAGAAATACCGCCCGGTCTTTGATTTTCATCTAAATAATATAAGTTCTGATTGATCCAATAACTTTTAGAGCAGGACTAGCTAAAAATAATGCACTCTTCCCAGGTTCTATATCATTAATCATCCAATTTAACAAAAAAGCCAAATCTGAATTTAACGTTTGATATTGTTTAATTTTCTCTTCCAATTTACCTGATAAATCTATTCCTGAATCGTCCGGAGTCAAAATTAAAACTTGGGTATTTCCCTGGGCATCTTTAGGAGAAACTATTGATGCACAAGTTAGTAAAAATCGGTAGTGCCAACATTTTCATTTATTTTGTTTGGTCATTCCCCTTTAAAGCTATTTAGGTCAAATTACGAAGCCGGAACTGTACAGCACATTGGACGCTTACAGCTGGTCTCCGGATTCATTCATTTGATTTTATATCTGCTGTTTATTACTTGCAATTAATGTCTGTGTACTTTGTGTCTTGTCCGCAGATTTGTCTTATCGGTTTGTGTGTGTGTGTAGTGTAGTCACCCTCCACTTACTAGTAGATTGTAATTTGTGAGTTTAATATTCTACCTGTAAATCTGCTGTTAATGAAGATAATAGTGTTAAACGTTCAGGTAGAATTAAGAAGAGCAACGCTACCGCTGCAATATACGTAAACATTCCTGCTTTGATCGATATGTTACTTTTAAAATGAAGAGAATGAAATATGAAATGACTGCCACGACTGTAATTGTGACAAGAGGCAAGGAAGGCTGGACGTTGGGTTTGTTTTGCCAAATTTACAGACTAAACATCGTCCTACTGTTCTGCTGTGATTTGGCTAATGAAAACGGGCATACGCCATGCAGTGTGCTATGAGGGACATATTGCCCGGACGGCGGCGTTATATACGGCCTACAGTACTCTTGTATCGAATTCCAACTGCCAAGGGTTCTTTTACGTGCACGTTAATGTGTACACGGAACTCCCTTTTTCATCCCATCCGAATGATTAGACAGTTTCCTTGCTGACTTTCCTTCCTGTATCACTGACTAGGGGAAAGAAAAACGATCAAATTCGGGTGGTACGAAACTCTATTAAGTGACCGGGGGAGGGGGGGCTTGGGTATTTAAAGTAAACAAACATACATGTACCTGTCTTGATACGAATAGATATCATGTTACGTATCACTAAAATGCACATTCATTTCGCTTTTCAAATGTTTAAATAATTTTCTGGCAGATTTGTATTTACATACTTTGAAAAAGTGAAATGAAATGGTGTTTAACTTCCTATTGTTCTGGTCCGACCGGGATAATGAAGGCGGGCATACGCCATACAGTGTGCTATAAGGGAAATTTTGCCCGGGCTGCGGCACTATTGCCTATTCTTATATCGAATTCCAACTGCCAAGGGATCTTTTACGTGCACGGCAATGTAATCACGGGACCTCGGTTTTTCGTCACACCCGAACAACTAGACAGTTCTCCTTTTCAGACCCTCCTTCCTGCACCACTGACAAGGTGAAACCACGTCAGGAAATCTGAATATACTTTCTCGGCCAATGTAGGGATCGAAGGCGCGACCTAGAGGCTAGCGAGCCAGGGTCTTTCCCACTTAGCCACCGTGGCTCCCTACTTTAAAAAAAAATAATGTTGAAGTGAAAGGGTGGGGGTGGGGGTCGTTATAATGAAGTTAAAATGTGACGCTTATCGAAGGCTCGGATTAGCCATAACGAGCGCATGATTTCACAGAAGTCATGGTCATCCAGAGAATTCCTTATTCGCTCTTAATGCATGGTAAGCCGATTTTTTGTATGGTGACTTATTGTATACCAGTTTGATCTCAGCACATTGACCTTTGTAGATTGATCACGTAAATTATTAATTTCCGTCCTGGTCCGGACTTTTTCCGTATGCAAATGAACTTTGTCGTAGATCACATATAAGGTATCAATCTGTTTTACAGACCTAATGCGACATCCGTCTTTTATCTCTGTCCAAGATGACTGACCTTTAAAAGGTCAGACCGCTGTTGTTCTAAGGGTGACGTCACATCACAATGTTTACCAACAAAGCAAGATGGCATCGATAACGCCAAAAAAGATTACTTCTGTGGCTTGTTTTTGTTGTTTTAAAACAAACACGAGCAGGTCAATCAGATTAGACGGTAAAAAATGTACTTCTGAAAGAATTCAGAGTAAACAAACAGAAAAAAACGTCAAATTGATGGTCACACGTGCGTTGTTTACATCGAACGTAGTAATATGAACTGGTACGGGCAGAATTATATCGTTTTACCCATTTTACGCCTCCGCGTACTATTTTCTGTACCTATTTACGCTAAATATGGAATATTTTTTATCACGATATACTTCAAACACCTTTATTTATTTTTCTAATACTAAAAAAAAATGTTTCAGAATTTAATTTGTCGAAAGAAAAAAGTTAATATTTTGTAGTCATTAAGTCGCATCGATGTCATCCTTATCAGTGATTGTAGCGGCTAAGTGAATATTCACTGCGGATCAGTGTGATAAGGTATATGCTCTAATATGCTAAGTTCTATTATGCATTTGTCTATTAAATGCAAAATGCATAACGGAGAAGAGAGAGAGAGAGAGAGAGAGAGAGAGAGAGAGAGAGATGGGGTTTAACGTCCACTCGACACAAACTAGGTCATTTCGGGACTAACATATGGTTTAATTTTATTTCATTAATTCGCTTGCGCGTAGGGGTCTTTAGCAGTGGGAGGAAACCGGAGGACCCGGAGAAAACCCACGAGGTTGGACAGGCGACCCTACTCCTTGTCACGTACAACCGGGGATTCGAAACCCCGCCAGTTGACTCAATGACAGGCCCTGGCGTATGATACAGCACGCACGTGCTAACCATTCGGCCACCCAAGTGTAATGTGCAAAATTATACTGTATTTGTATTATTGAAAACTGTATTTTAACACTGTGACAATGGTAGTGTGGAGCAATGGAAATTGCAATTTGTAAAACTAAAATACGTATTTTGAACTGCTGGCATAATATGCAGTTTGTACAGTGAACATTGAAATAATATTGGCAACGTTATCCTTCCATAATAATGTAAGGGAGTTAATTATTCAGCTAAAGGGGTGTAACTCCATTTTAAGACGTTGGGAAAGGTAGGTCGACATCTAGGACAGGGTTTGTTTTAACGTATGAATTTATTATTGAATTAACAATAGTTTTATATGCACACCATGTTCTAAATAATGGGCTTATGTCATGATCTGTGACTATCACTAAGAGCGGTAATGACAATAGCTTGCTTGTTATGTTAAAACACGTTTATTAGTATAATACTGACTTTGACTTATATGAAATGAAATGAAATGGGGCTTAACGTGCTACTGGATTAAGGCTTATAGATAGCCTGTATGTTTCACTTATCAGCCGTGGTGAAAATGTGTTTGGATTTGAAGCTATCTTATGGGTACTTTCATGAACCATACGCGTACCCCTGTATCCTGTATATCAACATGTAATGTCCCAGAGCGAGAATGTACCGGCAGTTACAGTAGTATTGTAACCTAGAGGGTCACTTCCATAAAACCAGGAACAGCTGTATAATCTGGATATGACTTTATTTGACCAGCAACAACATTAAAATCAATTTATAACTAAAAAGAAATGAACAAGACGATGTGCATTCCTTAGGACAAAATAATATATCTATAATGAAAATGTAATCTAATTTATATGACCTGGTTGTTAAGACACTAATCTCTAATAGTTTTAAGTTTAGTTAGTTATCCAATAAAAGATCATTAAAATGTTGCCACTGGTGACTTGAACTAAACAGTTAATTAAAATGGTAAATAATGCTAGATTTGTAAAGACAAATGATGTGGGTGTAGAAGAGGCTTGAATCATTAAATACAGGAGACGATGAATACATTTAATTATATTGAAACAAGTGTAGGAAATTAGTCTCTGAATGTAGCCGTTACTTTTATCGTCTACATGACAATATTCAATATGTATTAAAATGATTAATATTTATGAATCCAAATCATGGAAATATAATCTACGAGCATTGCTTTGAAATGCTTGGTTATAGTATACCGTAATGTCCGTGTACACTACACGATAGCAAATAAATAGACGTGTGTCTATAGGTGTTACACACTATCTAAATTAAACTCAAATTTTACTGTGTCATTCGTTAGTGAATGTCATTATACAGATAAAACACGGTGAATAAATGTATCTACGTTCTTACACAGTTAGCCGTGTCAGCCATTGTTGATTATTATGAACACAATGAGTAAAGTAAGCCACGTGCCCTGTAGGCTAATAATATTTCATCGGGACAAAGACAGCTGTCTAGGGACGAAAAGCCGAGGTCCCGTGTATCCATATGGAATTCGATATTAGAGTAGACTGTAGCGCCGCTGTCCGGGACAAAATTTCCCTCATAGCATATTGTATGGCGTATGCCCGTCTTCATTTGACCAATTGGTGCAGAACAGCAGGACGTTAAACCAAACCCCATTTCATTAAACTTGTCCAGTGCGATTTGTTAACGATGTTTTTCGATCTTTGCTTAAAAGGGCAATCATTAGTCCCACCCAGTTTTACCGAAAAAGGCAACAGCCCTTTTCTTCCATGAGTCAAGGCAATTTGCCTTTTTATACTCCCACATTTTCATGTGGACATATATTGTCGTCGCCCCTGTCCGTCTGGACGTCCGTCCGTCCATCCACAATTTGTTTGTGGACTCCCTAAAGGTCACAATTCTTATCCGATTTTGACGAAACTTGAAATATAGGTTTATCTCCAAAAGATCTCGGCTGCTTTCGATATTGGCATGTATCGGATCGAAACTTCATGGATTATGGCACCTGATTGTACGAAAAATCACGCTTTTAGTTTGTGGATCCTATGGAGGTCACAATTTTAATCCTATTTTGATGAAACTTGAAATGTAAGTTTATAACCCAAAGATCTCAGTTCTTTTCGATATTCGCGCATATCGGACCGTAACTTCCTGAATTATGGCCCCTTGTTGACCCTATAGAGGTAATAATTTTTATCCGATTTAAAAAAAACGTTTTAGTATATCACCGTTACACCCTAATGATGGTTGAGTTCGAATTTCGTGAAAATCGGCTAAAAACTAACAGACAAAATGGCCGCCCCTCGTTCTCAAATCGCGTAAAAATATGGTATATCAAGGTTGTGGACCTTACGGCGGTCACAATTTTTATCCGATTTTGATGAAACTTGAAATGTACGTTTTAAACCAAAGATCTCGGTTTCTTTCGATATTCGCGCATATCGGATAGTAACTTTGTGAATTATGGCCCCTGATTGTACGAAAAATCGTGTTTTTAGCTTGTGGGCCCTATAGTGGTCATAATTTTTATCAGATTTAAAAAAAACGTTTGAATATATCACCGTTACACCCTGGGGATGGTTTCGTAAAAATCGGACCACAACTGACAGACAAAATTGCCGCCCCACGTACTCAAATAGCGTTAAAATATGGTATATCAATGTTGTGAAACCTCTAGAGGTCACAATTTTCTTTTGATTTTGATGAAATTTGAAATGTAAGTTTATAACCCAAAGATCTTGGTGCCTCTCGATATTCGCGCATATCGGATAGTAACTTCCTGAATTATAGCCCCTGATTGTACGAAAAATCGCGTTTTTAGCTTGAGGTTCTTCTAGGTGTCAAAATTATTATCCGATTTAAAAAAAACGTTCAAATGTATCACTGTTACACCGTTCGAATTTCGTGAAAATCGGACCAAAACTGCCAGACAAAATGGCCCCCCATCGTACACAATTAGCGTAAAAATATGGTATATCAATGTTTTGGACCCATAGAGGTCACAATTTTCTTCTGATTTTGATGAAACTTGAAATATAAGTTTATAACCCAAAGATCTTGTTTCTTTTCACTATCCGAGCATATCGGATCGTAACTTCCAGAATTAAGGCCCTTGATTGAACAAAAAATCAAGTTTTTAGCTCGTGGTCCCTGTAGAGGTCACAATTTTTATATGGCCACATTTTCATGTGAACGTATATTGTCGTCGCCCCTGTCCGTCCACAATTTGTTTGTGGACACTCTACAGGTCACAATTCTTATCCGATTCTGACGAAACTTAAAATAAAGGTTTGTCTCCAAAAGTTATCGTTTGCTTTCGATATTGGCATGTATTGGATCGAAACTTCATGGATTATGGCCCCTGATTGTACGAAAAATCACGTTTTTAGCTTGTGGACCCTATAGAGGTCACAATTTTAATCCTATTTTGATGAAACTTGAAATGTAAGTTTATAAACCAAGGATCTCGGTTCCTTTCGATATTCGCGCATATTGGACTTTAACTTCCTGAATTATGGCCCCTGGTTGTACGAAAAATCGCGTTTTTAGCTTGTGGACCCAATACAGGTCATAATTGTCATCCGATTTTTAAAAAAAACGTTTTAGTATATCACCGTTACACCCTAAGGATGGCTTAGTTCGAATTTCGTGAAACTCGGCCCAAAACTGACAGACAAAATGGCCTTCCCTCATTCTCAAATAGCGTAAAAATATGGTATATTAAGGTTGTGGACCCTACAGAGGTCACAATTTTCTTCTGATTTTGATGAAACTTGAAATATATGTTTATAACCCAAAGATCTTGGTTCCTATTTTGATATTCGCGCATATCGGATTGTAACTTCCTGAATTATGGCCCCTGGTTGTACGAAAAATCGCGTTTTTAGCTTGAGGTCCCTCTAGAGATCACAATTATTATCAGGTTTAAAAAAAACTGTTGTCAGCTTGAACTAACTATTACAACACCAATAGGGATTGTTTCTAACGTTCTAGAAATATTTGAACTGGGTCGAACAGTCGAAGAGAGGTGAAATAAATTAGTTTAGTGCGTATTACTTTGTTTCGAAATGTATTGCACCTGCGCAGATCCGTTTTTCGTCAGCTGGCATACGGATTTAAACAAATACGCGTCGGAACTGAAAACTGTTGTTAGCTTGAACTAACGATTACAATACCAATAGGGAGAGTTTCTAACGTTCTAGAAATATTTGAATTGGGTCGAACAGTCGAAGAGAGGTGAAATAAATGAGTTTATTGCGTATTACTTTGTTTCGAAATGTATCACACCTGCGCACTTCCGTTTTTCGTCAGCTGGCATACGGATTTATACAAATAACCCCATGTCTCTTTCTTTCAGTTAATCCACGTCCATCAAATTAATAAACGACAATGGAGAAATTTCAGAGTTTATCAGACTTTATAAATAAAGACAACAATTGGTTGATCCTAGGTGGTACCGGAACTATTCTAATTGGTGGAATAACTGCTTATAAACTTTTAACAAAACGGTAACTTGATGTAGTTATAATTTGTTACAGTATTAGACCGGGAGCACAGGGGGTCAACCTAGCTGAAAAGTGTACCAATTTTCTCCTATATGGTATCAATGTATGTATATCTGGTATCATCAGAATGTAAGTCTGCAGGGTTTCTGGTGGTGGGTGTGTTATTCCACGCCCTAAATGCCATGATCCCCAACTAGGCTAATTTAGCTCAAAAGTGTACCACACGAAAATCTTACTGCAGTGTACCGTACATCTTCAGGTATTACAAAAACACTCTGACAGACATTTCTGGTGGTGGGGTACCCCTGATAGAGCTATGTAATTGCCAGACATTTGTAGTAGTGGAATATCCCTGACAAAAGTTATCTAATATTTAGACCAAAGCTAGGCTAGATTAGCTGAAATCTGTGCCACCTAAAACAGCTTTGGAGTTGTTCAGTACCACCACAGGAGTCATGAATGACCACTGCCAGACAGTTTGTGCGGTGGGTTACCCCTAACAGACACGCCCCAAAATGCCACGCCCCCAACTAGGCTAGCTTCGCAGGCACTGTTCCCGTGTTCTAAAAAATTAGATTTTTAGCCAGGATGCGTAGGATACTAATACCTAGCACGTATGGAAGAGGCGATAAACTGCGATTGCAAGAAATTGATTCTTGGGCAAAAAACATTTTATGGAGCTAAAAATGCGTTTTTGAAAAAATAAAATTGTTCCTACAAACGCAGTTTATCGACTCTTCCATATGTGCTAGGTATTGGTATTCTACGCATCCTGGCATAATTTTTAATTTTTTGGACCACAGGAACAGTGCCGACTAATCTATCCTAGTTGGGGGTCGTGTTATTTTGGGCGTGTCGTTTGAGGGGCAAACCACCGCACAAAGTGTCTGGCAGTGGTCATTCATGATTCCTGTGGTGGTACTGAACAACTCCAAAGCTGTTTTAGGTGGTACAGATTTGAGCTAATCTAGCCTAGCTTTGGTCTGGAAATTAGATAACTCTTGTCAGGGATACTCCATCACTACAAATGTCTGGCAATTACATAGCTCTGTCAGGGGTACCCCACCACTAGAAATGTCTGCCAGAGTGCTTTTGTAATACCTGAAGATGTACGGTACATTGCTGTGTGATTTTCATGTGAGCTAATCTAGACTAGTTTGGGGCATGGCATTTTGAGCGTGGAATACCACACCCACCACCAGAAACCCGGTAGACTTACATTCTGATGATACCAGATATACATACAATGATACCATATAGGAGAAAATTGGAACACTTTTCAGCTAGGTTAACCCCCTGGGCTCCTGCTCTATATGTCCTAACCCCAGGAAAGCAGCCACATTGGGTTGGCGGTAGAAGGTTCATTTTTAGCCCGTTGCTCCATTCGGCAGCGTGTTCGACAATCTCTATTAACCAAAGATTGACTCCCGGTGTTTAGATATTTTATTACTACTTCCGGACAACCAAGACGCTGAAGCGATATTGTTCATCGATACGTTTAAAAGTAATCTGTAACAAAATCTGGTCTCCTCCTGTATATTTGCGTCGCACAGGAAATTTGCAAGTAGTCTCTATAAATCAACCACAGAAAGGATCTTCGCTAAGAAATTGTATTTGAAACATGTTAACCTGTTCTATCACATATGCAAACTTGGTGGACGGCATCGATGCAGGTTAACGTTTGCTGCAATTATTTTGAATATATTTCAGAAAAAAGAAAAGTTGGCCCAAAGATACAGTTGTATTACATTCACTTGACAAAGGCATCTGGGATATGAGTTTAACACCATTTGCTGTTAAACTAGAAACATATTTCCGATTGGCTGATATTCCTTACATTGTAAGTAACTATACTTATAATTTATAATAATAATTAGCAACGATTTATGTGCACAAAATATAGTTCTCACAGTAAAGGATCGTGGGCATGATGTTTAGAAGGTTTGTATTCACGAACGTTGATAACACGTTTCAAATTTTATATTTCCACAAACAATAAACAATATTTTAAGTTTCGTTAGGATCAATTGTAGTTCCCCTTTAATTGCCCACGTAAATTATTAGCAAGGCGGATAAGTAAATAGGTTAAAAAAAAACCTTTTAACTCTACGCTTGCACAAATATGAATTTTATTCCGACCAGCTTGCTTGGGCGTCCCTTTTAAAAATCCATTTAAATCTAATTCAAATGACAATAATTGTTAGATTTATTATTCCAGTGACCAAATCGGTGGGGTTTTTTTTTAAGATTGGATTTGTGTTCCGGTTTCATTTTGCGTTTTTTTTTAAACAATTCTCGAAATGTTAATAAGCAATGGCGATAACACTAGATAAATTGATTTATATTTCTAGAACAACCCAACCAATCAGCAATCATCTAAGAAGAAAATACCATGGATTGAGTATAATGGCGAAACTGTGGCTGATTCTGCTTTTATTATAGAATATTTAAATAAAAAGTTAGCTTTAGATCTCAATAATATGCATTTAACACAAACAGAAAGGGCTATAGGTCGTGCCTTCTCTAAAATGGTGGAAGACAATACTTATTGGTATGTATTAGTTATACATTTTTGTAACTATAATATTGACTTGTAAACTGTTTCACCAATTCCATAAAATAATTAAAAGTTTCATACTTTTAAAAATCAGAAGGTTACCTAGATGACGGGGTTGGGTATAAATCAGTCATTATATCTTAAAGCACATAATATTATATGTATTGGCCTTATTTGCTCAACAGTCGATCGGGATACAAGGATCACAATTATTTCTGCCAAATGCTCTTTTACATCTACGCTAATATGTCCACTGATGGAACTTGATATTCCTCCTATTCAACTGAATATGAATATCTTCTTTTAGTGGCATTTAGCAATTGACACAAGTAATAAACACAAAACCATAATATGGAACAAAATATTACTGTTTTAATTAAAACGACGTTTCGTTTCGTTTCGTTTTCAAGCAAATGATGATGAAAATAATATACAGAATGTCTATATTCCCTATAGATTAATTGTTAATTAGCTGTTTGTTACTTGTTTTTGTATATAAACCTTCTGTATATTATTTTCATCATCATTTGCTTGAAAACGTTGAGAGAACCCTCAACGAAACGTCGCTTTAATTAAAACAATAATTGTGTTCCATACTAAGGTTCCGTGTTTATTTATTGAGTAGGAATACTCACCATGTCCCCATCAAACAACAGACACTTAACACATCCAATGAGATTATCCTACCGTTATACTATAAAACTGTTAACAGGGTTTACAATAATATTATAGGTGTCAGTGGTTATGCAAGGTATGCTTTCGATCCTAAGTTTTTGTAGCTAAACCACAAGCCTGTCAAATCCTACGTGTATCTATACCGGCTACACACATGCTTTTTTCTGGCCACTGATAGTCAAGGTATAGCTGACGTAGATACTGTTGGGCCTCTGAACTCTTGGACTTATATGGCAACCAAATCGTACATGCATCAGGAACACAGCTAGGGTAATGCTTAAAAATTACGTTTTATATCAAGCAGCATACTAACTTTACAAGCATAAATCTATGAAGTTAAATATAACATGTCTCTCAATCCACTCAGCGTTAGTAGACTACTGAAAACGCTACATCATATTTTCGTAAAGAAACCCGATCGGTCTTTTAAATATATCAAGATATTATCTATTTCCGTGCCATCCGTAGCATTACATGGTGTTCCCTCTATTAAATCTTGTTTATGAATTTGAAAACAGTATTGGTCGAGGCCGTAATATTGCTACACTTGGCCGTGACATTATGCCTATCGTGAGCGCTGTCTAAAGACTCCAGCACGGAGGCGAATTGTTGAATTAAAATATATCATACACCCCCTGACATTTTATAATTTACTGTGCAGAATGTTATTTTTGAATTTCTGACAACTCATAGTACAGTGAAGATATCGGCAAGAGGTAATGCAGTTGTTTATCCCTATTTTCAGGACGATGGTGATGTCAAGGTGGTACCATGATATCTATAAAGTTGATCCACCGGGTCTTGGTTTGTTAGGCAGCTGGCTTCTGCCATTTGCTGCTCGAATGATATATAAACAGGGATGGCAACAAGGTATGGGTAGACACAGTCGTGATGAAGTACTACATATCATGGAGGAAGATTTAAAGGCGGTTTCTCTGTTTTTAGGTAATGACAACGGTATAAGAAACATATAGGAGTAAATAGTTCTTTTGTCCTGCTTGTTTCACGAAAATATTAACTGTTTGTTCTTGACTGGACAATGTTTTTTAGTGACTGGAATTCGTATATCTATACAAATATTTGTGACTGTCGTTTGTTTGTCTGTTCACCGTTGGCGGATACACTAGGGCTGTCCGGTGCTGAAATTTGGTGTAAAGGGATAGCTCGGACCCGGCAGTAACATAGACCTGGTGGCGATGGCCTACCACTTCCGGTTTTGGAGTTATGCCACTTGCGGCGCATGGCCATACCCGTGCTGAGAGTCTTATATTTTGTTTATTGACGATAGTTGGCGGAGAACCCCTAAAATAATTCCAATGTTAATATTTGACTTTGATTTAGTCATATTTTCCGGTATTATCAGTGGCGTAGGAGGACCGGGTGCTTGCCAAGGAAAAGCATCCAGTCCTTTGGATGGGACACAAACTTGGGGTCCACCCGTGTACTTGTCGGTGTGCATTTTAAAGAACCATTTACGGTTGGAATTCAATGGAACATAGAAGGAAACGCCACTGCCCTTGCAAAATTTGCCCTCGTAGACCACTGCCTGGCATATGCCCGTATTTTCAATCCCGTTTCGTGCAAAGATATGGGATGTTAAACCCGATTTAATTTCTATATTTGGTAGATAAAAAGAAGTATTTGTTTGGAGAGAAACCATGTGAAGTTGATTGTGCTGTATTTGGTCAATTATCACAGTTTTGTTGGCATATGCCTGGTTTATACGGCGAGACATTAATACATGGTGAGCTATTATTTACTATCTTTCGTTGATTAGCTTATTGCCTGTAAAACGTGTAATTTAATATCTTAAAGTGTAATTTAATATCTTAAAACGGAGTAATCACCCCTAACCTTGACGACAAAGCTGGTGGTAGACTGTAAGGTAACATTTTGTGTAAAATTAAATTATTGGTCTTTTTTCTCCCAGCTTTTAAATTAAAGCAGAGGGCAATTAAAATGCCCGTCCGTCTGTCTGTCTGTCTGTCCGTCACACTTTTTGGGATACAACAACCCTCCTTCTAATTGAGCTAGAATGTTCAAACTTGGCGTAGGTGTTTATTAGGTGATTACCTTGATGAAGCATTTTCTGCTTAGGCTAAGTAGAGCTAAGTAATTTGATTGGTTGATGATTGGTTGATGTGTTCTAATAGAGTAATGAAACTTGGTATATAGTTTCATTATATCAATACCTTGACTAAGTTAGAATATGGGGATTTTCTACTCAGGGTAAGCAGGGCGATAAGCAATTTGATTGGTCGATACTTTGGAACTCGATAACTTTGATTCTAATTGAGCGAGAGTGGCGAAACTTCGTGTATAGTTTCGTTACATCGGTAAATTGACTGAGATTGATGACGGGCATATTCTGCTTTGGATAAGTAGAGACTTCAAGCGAACTGGTCGAGACTTGGAACACAATAACTCTCCTTCTAATTGGGGTAGAATGGTCAAACTTGGTGTAGGTGTTTCTGAGGTGAATGCCTTGACTGTGTTCGATCATGCGTATTTACCTTTAAGGCTATGCAGAGATAAGCAATATAATTGTTTGAAACTTTTAAACACATAACTTTGGTTCTAATTACGAGGAAGTCCGATGATGAGAATTCTCTGCTAAGAAGCGATAAGCAATTTGATTTGTCAAGACTTTGGAACATAAGAACTCTGCTTTTAATTGAGGTAGAATGCTAAAACGTGGTAAAGATGTTCATTAGGCGAATGTCTTGACTGCGTTAAATGGTTAACATTTTCCGCTAAAGCTAAGCAGACAAAATTACTGATGGAGAGTAGTTAACGTAGTGTATAGTTTCACTACCAGGCACTTCAAAACCATCACTGAGTTTGATCGTGAACATCGACTGCTTCGATTAAGTATATAAGATCAGTTTGATTGCTCGATACTTTCCAAAATAGTGAATGTGCATTTAATTAATATTTGGCATGTATTTATTTTGGGATTGCGACGAAAGACATCAGTTTAAATGTTGGGATTTTTTGTCTTAATTTCAGAGAAATACCCCAATCTAAAAGATTATTGCTATCGAATGAAGAAAGCGTTCTGGCCAGAACTGGGAACAAGTGCAAGAAGCAAACAGGAGAAAAAATCAACATGAACTGAACATTTTGTACAGTTATCTAACATAGCGCTTTTCAGATTATTATTTTAGTTCTTCAATAATATTATACTGCACGTACATTAGTTAATTCGAAAATTTTTTGCACATATTATCTCAATCTACGGATGTGACCTTTTTGAGAAGGAATACGAAAACTACAAAGTTTATCGAGATTTTCCGGCGTTGTTTCCCATTGTCGCCAATGTCGGTGGTGCAGGACGGAGAGTAACCTAGACCTGATGGCGTTGGGCAACCGCTTCCGGTTTCTGAGTTATACTACTTTTAACCCGTTTAGCGGGGGGGGGGGGGGGTCATGCGCTAGTAAATGATAACGTGCAAGGTTAACCTGAAGTAAAAGCCACTGAACATCCTATAACAAATATCATCATATTGATCGCCATTTCCTGCAGAATAATTTATTATTGTTAAGGGGGTGATTATATTTTATTATATTACCTAATATTGTATACTCCTAAATACATTAAGACAGGAGATAAACCGGGGAGAGATGGTGACAATCAGACCCACAGCAAATGGAACAAAGGGAGTTTCTCGATGATAATTGTTTGAAAATAAAAAGATGCGTTCTTCAATTCACAGAAAAGTGGACACGGTCAAATCTCTGATAGAAATTGGGTCATTTTCGACCATTTTTTTGCATTGAAATGATAAGGCACACGCCGTAAATTACAGATAATGGAATCGGATTCAATTTCGGAAAGACACGAGGGGTTTCACGATGATAATTGTTTGAAATTGAGAAGACGCGGTCTTCAATTCATAAAAAAGTGAATACGGCCCCCCAATCTTTGATATCAATGGGGTTGTTCTCTGATTTCGTAAAGACAGGGAGAGTTTAGCAATGCTTTTCGCTTAAAAATGAGAAGAACCGTTCTTCAATAAACAGAAAATTGAATACGGTTAAATCTCTGATAAACAAAAGGGGTACATGTAATTTTGAACCAATTTTTCACCTTGAAATGACAAGGCGCACGCCGTAGTTTCGTAATTTACTGAAACTGGAATCGTGACTAGAGGAGTTTCTCAATGATGTTTGCTTGAAAATGAGAAGACGCTTTGTCAAATTAACAGGAAATTGAATACGGTCCAATCTCTAATACGGTCCAATCTCTGATAGAAATAGGTTCATTTTCTAACATTATTTACATTGAAATGAAAATAATTTACCGAAACTGGAAATAACAAATTTTTCCCGCTTCAGCGAAAATCTAAGTGCAGTTATGCAAAATATGTTTTTTATGTGCTTTTTTTCTAAGAAATCTAAAACGTATATTCCCTAATCCACAGCAAATGGAACCGGGTGCAATTTCGAAAAGACAATTAAGGAAGTTCTCGAGATCATAATTGTTTGAAAATGGGAAGACACGTTGTTCAATTCACGGAAAAGCGAATACGGTCAAATCTCTGATAGAAATTGGGTCGCTTTCGACCATATTTTTGCATTGAAATGATAAGGCACCCGCCGTAATTTACAGATAATAGAATAAAATTCAATTTCGGAGAGACACGAGGGGTTTCACGATGATATGAATGGAGCCGTTCTCTGAATTCGGAAAGACTTGGGGAGTTAATCAAGGCTTTTTACTTAAAAATGAGAATACGCTTTCTTTAATAAATAGAAAATTGAATACAGTCAAAGTCAAATCTCTGAAAGCAACTTTTTGCATTGAAATGATAAAGCGAGCGCCGTGATTTCCTAATTTACAGAAACTGGAATCGTGTCCAATTTTGAAAAGACACTGGGAATTTCTCAATGCTTTTTGCTTTCTGCTTATTACAAGTCTTTCTTTAGGCCTGAAATGTTATCTAAATTATCAATTAGACATTAATTAACTTATCCAGACCATAATGAACTCTCGATGTCAAGGCTAGCCTTCGATGTTGGCTGGATTAGATTCCTATATGCCGCTAACGGCTATTGATAATTAAATCAATAAAAGTGGATAATCGAGACTATGCTGTTTATATTAATGATTTTAGTAATGATGACCGAGACTATGCAAAAATTTCACCCGCTTCTTTCTCGGCTCATAGTGGATCCATTTGACTGAAATTTTCAGCAAATTACCTTTACACTATCTAGTTTTTAACTATTATAGCGAGAACTGCCATCTCTTTATCTTATCTCCCATAATGTATCTTTAACTGAAACGTGAATAGAAAAGGGGTCGTTCTCCCATTCCGGACAAAAATGGGTGAAATTTGCTCGAATTTTAAATACCATTTGAATCTTTGATTGGAAATAGGATGACGCCTTCTCCAAATCCAAAAGTTTGAATGATGTTCAGTAACAGGTTGCCCACACATTGGCGTGCACGTAAAAGAACCCTTGACAGTTGGAATTCAATATATGTGTAGGCCGTAGTGCCACTATCCTGGCAAAATGTCCCTAGCACACTGCATGGCGTATGCCCGCCTTCATTAGCCCAACCAGAGCTGAACAGTAGGAGGTTAAACCCCATTTCATTTATCCTTGCCTATACGACCCGCTTAGGGTGGCCATTATACTACTATACACGATAAGCACCATCAGTTAAGAGGCACAAAGTAATCCCAGCATCACAGAATAAATATCAGGATTTGGAAAAATATAAACTATCAAGAGATGTGATATTTAATTAAGCCCCAAAACCACGCGACCGATCTAATAACCTATAAAGTGGATGGGCATTATAAAATATCAACATTGTATAGTTTATTAAAGATGCATTATGCAAGAGCTAGATCTGGCTCTTGTTAAATGTAATATAAATTATAATCCAACTCTCTAGGACATCGGGTGGCTTAGATGTTAAATGGATGAGAGGATGTCTGTCATATCTTTGTTAAACGTTTAAATGGAAATTATAAATTACATTTATTACATCAAAATGGTACTTGACAGTCAATTCATATTTGCGCTATTTCTTGTCAAAGCTTCAAACATTCATAACTTCACTCAGAATAAAGTAATTGTAGTGACATTTTCAATATATTCATTATAAATTATCTATTTTAAAACGCTAATAGCTAGAGTGGACTGCTCTTTATCTAAATCTTACATATTGCATCTTTAATCTTAATTAGTTATAAGATTAATTATCAAATATTAATATTTTATAAGGGATTATCCTGATATAATATTTAGTTGTATAAACCATACGCCCTTGGGAGAAATGATATTTGATCTGTCTTTCGTTCGTTCGTGGGGGTTAACATCCGCTGCCATCGAGGGTGATATCGCAGATAAATCAATTTTTCCTATGAAACTTGCCAGTACAGCAACTCTAGTTCCACGTTGGGTTATATCTTGGTATCATGGATGGATTCATGGATTAGTAAGGTATTAGTATATACATATGTATCTCAGATTGGTCACCATTAACTAAGTAATGTTTATGTCCCATCATATTTTATGTATATTTATTCTTGTATTTCTTGTACATACATACAAATACTATTACTATTACTATCTGATATTTAAATTTTGGAAATATTATTACTCATTCCATCTTGGCGATATCATTTAGTTGGAAGCGTGCGTTAAATTTCACATTACAATTGTTACAATCTCCTAGTATTGATTGTAGTTGACAGATTCACGATCCACCCAATAGCCTTATCAGAAACATCTAGACAAAAAGCCATTTAATAATACAAATGATATATAAATGATATTGGAATAAAGGTATAAGTACGAGTATAAAAATGTTAATTAGAATCAATGTACAGGATTATTCACAGTATTCAGTTCAATTTTACCAGTATCCGGTTGATTGTCTTCTTAGCTAAGAATATTTACAGTGAAATAGAACATATTTTACATTATGATAACAATATTTATAATGAAATATAATATGTTTTATTATAATAATAATCTTTACATAGTTTATATAATAATAACTGTCTTTGTGAAATTACATACATTACAATATAATAACAACCTTTGTAGTGAAATCGTATATATTTTGCTTTACAGAAAATGTTACATTGTAATTACTTTTGAGATGAAGAAACCGTGGTTGTTGATTAGTTTGCTGATTGTCATAATTGTTGTTCATCATTTAATGTACAGAGTAAGTAAGTAAATAAATAAGCAATGGGTGACGGTTTGTCTAAAATGCCCTCTAAAGCCCGTTCGTATCTACACCTAACTGTCAAGCCGAAAGTCTCACATTACAATCCTAAACATATTATGCGTCTGTAATTATTTGAAATTTTCAATTTGTATCCGATAACATCGAAGCCAAGATATTATCTAACATAAACGTATTGCCTTTCTCTCAAAATGAATTAACTACCGATTTTATTTCAGAGATATTGTCCAAACAACAAATGGTTTGCCAATCCACAGCTAGAAAATAACATCACAGTAGTAACAGCCTACTTCAATATTGGTGAATTTCAGAAAGGGTTGTCGGGCAAATATACTCCCGACCTTTACGTAAAATGGATGACAACGTTCCAGTACCTTATAAACCCGCTTGTTGTTTACGTAGATGAACAGAAAATGGCAGATATTTTTAAAGATCTAAGAAAAGGTTTAAAAAGTGTAACAAAAATTATCGTTCTGGATAGAAAATATATGTGGTCATTTGGACTTAAACACAGAATAGGTCAAATATTTTCCTCCAAATCTTATCCTAGGTTTTATCCAAACACGGTTGTTCCAGAATACGCATGCGCTAACCACGCTAAATATGAATGTCTGGAGAAAGCCATCCAAGAAGACTATTTCTCAACTGCTTATTTTTCATGGCTGGATATTGGCTACTTTCGTGACATAGTTTCTTGTACCAAGGATTTTACATTAGTATTGCCAGATTGCTTTGATCAAGAAAAGATCTCATTCACACAAATCTATGAATTTACACCACAAATAAATATGTCCGATATTTTTCTGAAAAATCGTGTGTGGGTCGGAGGTGGGATGAACTTGGCCAAAAAAGAAGTCAGTAAAGAATTTGTACGTCTTTATAGAAATTCTGTAGATACACTAATGCAAAAATCATTAATGAGTACTGACCAGCAAGTCATTTATTCTATTTATTCCAATAAAGGACGAGCGATATTTAACCCGACTGTCGAAGTACAACCTTACAGATCGAACGATTGGTTTTACTTGGGATTCTTATGCCATCGTTCTTACAATAAATCTTCATTTAGAGAGGACTAGGGCGTTGAACTCCTATTTCGTTAAATCGTTTATTTGAGGGGAGGGGTGTTATAATTTTAGCACATGTAGACCACTCTTTAGACTGCTTCATATTACAGCGTTATAGATTGAACGTTTTTTAAATCGAATGTCGAAGTGGAACTTTTGAGACAGAGCGATTATAACTTATTGTGCCATACACAGCCAAAATGGTTTTTACTTTAAAACAATGAACTTACCTTAGTGAATGTTCAATCTGAAATGACAATTTCTAAAGTGAATATGAAACAGCTCTAGTAAACGTACACTGCCAACAGAGCCGTGTATTCGCCTATAAACAGTCATAATGCTGGTGATATTCTTTACATCTATCTATACTAATATTTGTGACCGTCGTTTGGTTTGTCTATTCAGGGTTGGCGGCTACACAAGGGGAGTCCCGAGGCTGAAATTTGGTGTAATGGGGTAGCTCGGACCGTGGAGTAACATTGGTCTACCGCTTGGCTTACCGCTTGGTGACATTGGCCTACCGCTTCCGGTTTCAGAGTTACTGGCACAACCCGGGTCATTCACTAGTCAGAACATTGAGTTTATTTGTTCAAATTGCCTTTATATTTACTCAGAACGTGATGTTTCGGTTTAATAAAAATCTGTAGTAGTACCGGTCGTATTTGTCTCTTGCTTTTGAATTCAGATTTCTTTCCCTAGCTGCCCATACCATTTCGTATAAAATGGTGTCGATAATTGAGGTCGACGAACCATCAGCACACTGACTTAGGGCACATAACAGAATTTCCATCACAGGATTTAGATAAAGTGAGGCCCAAGCTAGATCCTCCCAATCCCAGCCCTCAAGACCAGAGGAAGATGCGAGTGTGTTTTAAGCACGATTGAGCAAAGCCGATGATGACGGATGTTAAAGGCTAGAGTGCGTCGAAGAAAGGCTTATGCCAGTGTCAAAAATAGTATATTCCTTGGCCCGGGCCCCAGGATACCAAGGCTATCAGTAAATCCGACAATGCACGTTAGAAGCTTTTAGGGCGTTAACGATTTTGGTGCATTTTAAAATCACTTTTAAATTGATATAACTAAGGTAACGTCTGTTACATGTATATATATGAATATCGTGGCATAACAATTATCGAGATATTCGGTAGTACCCCACTTTAAACCAGCGGTTGAACTACATCATGAAATAACGAACGGTTGATTTTATTCAGGATTCCCATATCACCACTCTTACAATAAATAGTTCCCGGTCGGTGGGTCTGTAATAAGCAGGCACCGCATCACCTTTGTTTGTTTTCCTATGTATGCCTGGTGCGTTTAATATTTGTTTTTTTTTCTGATTTAGAACTTCTAATCTTCCCTTAGTAATATTAAGTTACAATAGTGTGTATGAAGAATGAAATCGATCATTACGAAATAAATAATAAACTAGTTGTAAGTCCTGTTATAATGTTTTAAATACGTAATAGTTTATTAATTCAACAAAAAATTATGATGACTATATAATATATGCAATCAGAAATTCGTGCAATTCGTCTTTTGGATGGATTTAACGATATTATTGTTACTGGCCCATAGTACAACAACTTATAAGGTAATATTACATTTACATTTATTATGCATTAGATAAAATCTAAAATCTTCCTAGGTCTGTCCGTTGTCGGAATAACGACCGCTCTTCATATGCGTCCATTTATCTCCGAGAGTGAGAGACAGAGAGAGAGAGAAATGGGGTTCAAAGTCCACTCGACACAAACTAGGTCATTTCGGGACTAACATATGGTTTAATTTTATTTCAATAATTCGCGAGAAAACCCACGAGGTTGGACAGACGACCCTACTCCTTGTCACGTACAACCGGGGATTCGAAACCACGCCAGTTGACTCAATGACAGGCTTTATGATACAGCGCGCACGTGCTATCCATTCGACCATCCCCCCCCTCTCCGAAAGTAAGTTAGTGAGTTGATGGTTTATGAATGACAAGTCACACTGTACATGTGTACGCGACAAGTATTACATTAGTTAATTCAAAATAATGTAACAATGTCTTTGATGTGTGTAAAATTAATATCACTATTGATTCTTCTTTATTTTATGGCATTCCTTTTTAAAAACATGATATCCGCAGATTGAGATATGACGTCAAAAATTCTGGATTCATTTGAGTTGTAAGTCTGACTTTGCTCATAGATTGAGATATATCTAACTTTATCTTCAACAAATTTTATTTTTAAATTTTAATTCGAATTAACTAATGTACATATAAACATAATATTAGTGGAAAAGCCCTTCACTGATAACAAATCTACAAAATGTTCTCGGGTATCACAATCTCAGTTCATGCTGATTTTTTCTCCTGTTTGCTTCTTGCACTTGTTCCCAGTTCTGGCCAGAACGCTTTCTTCATTCGATAGCAATATTCCTTTAGATTAGGGTATTTCTCTGAAAATAAGAACATAAAGGCATTTAAATGCAATGTTAGGGTTTAATTTCACACATAAAATAAATCTTACCATTGAAGGCGTGGACCAGCAAGTTTGTGGCAGAGGTCAGTGTGATTACAATATCTAATATATACGATACCACTTGGGTAAGTCTAAGCTAGTGTATTTTCGACTCGGCCCGGGTTCTTATTATTTAAGATGTCAGCACAAACCATCTCATAAAGGTATTATAACTTTTATCATGAATCTCACCCCCTCCCCCTTTTAACAATTTACCGGTTGCAATAATATCTTTCTATTCAATAGGAACGGAATCATTGAAATAAAAATATACCAGTTTGTCGTAAATGACGTTGTTTGGGGCGTCATCTAAACTAACAGTAAACACTTTTTTTCTGTCGATGCCATGTGCTTTTAACCCGAAATATTCGTTATACTCCAAAAATGAGTAGTAAACTGAAGTTGATGTTATTGCGCAATAAAATATTCCCATAAATAGCTCTTGTACCATTCATAACTTTCTTCCTAATATGAACAACCCAGTGATAACGTAACCAATCCGTAAGTGTAATTATTTCAGCAATTCAGAATTCATGGTGGGTTTTTTTTGGTCTCATTCCACATAATGAGTTTATTGTCGATCACCTCACATAAGGAACTCTGATTTTGTAAGCCCCATTCAACTCTTTCATAAATCAAAGATTCGAAACGTTTTGATAAATATTTCAAAACAATGGAATTCATCTCTATGTCATGACTGAAAACGAAAGGAAACATATATAAAGGGAGATCAATTAAATAATAGATGGGGATGCAGTTTCAAGTAAGTATGACTTCAAATTCAATCACGTGTTCTTTTCGCGGGGATCAACAACGAAGTCACACTTTTAAATTATGCATCGTGGTGGATAGAACTGATGACAATTTCTTATAGGGCGATGATTAACTCACCATTTATTAATGTCTCGCCGTATAAACCAGGCATATGCCAACAAAACTGTGATAATTGACCAAATACAACACAATCAACTTCACATGGTTTCTCTCCAAACAAATACTTCTTTTTATCTACCAAAAAAAACCATAACAAATTAAACATCAGATACAAGAGACAAGCATCGCGATAGTCGTATCCAGATGATCTGGGGTTCGATCAAAGAGTCGACCTCTTTAACTTACAATATTGTTCGATTGCTACCTTTTCATTGGCTAGATCAAATCTGTATTAACATTTAAACTTTCAATTTATGACAAAGGCTAAATCTATCAAAAATTAAAGCATCAATCTCTTGAAGAAGGCCCCTGGCAAGGAACCCCGTCTACTGTTTCAGATGGGACGAAAACTCGAGGTCATGTATGTGTATACCACAGTCAGCCCGAGGCCCTTTGTATACACTGCAAAGAAGGAATTTCCTTCATAGCACACATCATGGTTTAACCCATACTATTTATACTGTATCATAAGCACAATTTGTGTACTGTTGTCATTACCTAAAAACAGAGAAACCGCCTTTAAATCTTCTTCCATGATATGTAGTACTTCATCACGACTGTGTCTACCCATACCTTGTTGCCATCCCTGTTTATATACCTTTCGAGCAAAAACAGAGAGAAGCCACCTGGGTATCAAACCAAGACCCGGAGGGTCAACTTTATGTATATCATGGTACCACCTTGACATCACCATCGTCCTGAAAACAGCAACCATAACTCATCACTATATTAACGTTTCTGATCGGCAATAGAGGGGTTGTTAATTTCTTGTAAACTACAGTATTGTGTAAGTTGCACCCCACCACCGAAAAAAAGAAGAGAGAGAGAATGAGGTTTACCGTCCTACTGTTCTGCTCGGACTGGTCTGATGAAGACGGGCATCCGCCATACAGTGTGCTATGCGGGAAATTTTTCCCGGACAACGGCGCTACTGGACACTCTTACACCGAATTCCAACTGCCAAGGAATCTTTTATGTGCACACCAATGTGTACACGGGACCTTCGCTTTTCGTCCCTTCCGAATGAGAATGACTATACACATATGCACCACTAACAAGGGGAAACCACGCCAGAAACGAGAGAGGGGGAGAAATGGGGTTTAAAGTCCACTCGACACAAACTAGGCTATTCAACTTTTTTTCAATAATTCGCTTGACCGTAATGTTCTTTAGCATTGGGAGGAAACCAGACACTCCCGATGAACATTCTTGACCGGGATCGAAAAGGGAATCTCCAGGTTAGCGAGCAAACGCATTACTCAATCAGCCACTGGGGTTCCCTCATAAGATAACTAGTATCTCTATTGATTGCAGGTGATTATAGCCAAACACATTTACTAATACATACCAATATGTATTGTCTTCCACCATTTTAGAGAATGCACGACCTATAGCTCTTTCTGTTTGTGTTAAATGCATATTGAGATCTAAAGCTAACTTTTTATTTAAATATTCTATAATAAAATCAGAATCAGCCACAGCTTCGCCATTATACTCAATCCATGGTATTTTCTTCTTAGATGATTGCTGACGGGTTGGGTTGTTCTGCGGGGAAATATAAATATAAACAATATAGCTAGTTCGAATTTAACTGGGAGGCGCAATCGATCCATAGCGAGGAATTAAAGGGGAAGCGCGATCGACCCTTAGTGGAGATTTACAAGAAAGCACAATCGAGCAATAATGGTGCATTAAGGGTAAAGAGTAATCGACCCGTAACGAGGAATTACAGGAAAGCGCAATGGAACCCTAGTGGGGAATTAAAGGGGCAGCACAATCGACCCTTCGTGAGGAATTACCGGTGGGCGCAATCGATCCCTAGTGGGGAATCAACGGGTAAGCACAATCGATCTCTAGTCAGGAATTAAAGGGGAAGCGCAGTCAACTCTGACAACAGGTGCATCGATCTGGGGTAGGGGTCTAGTTGACATGTTCCGAATCACTAAGTTGAACTTAAGGAAACTGGGGTCCAAACAAACTCCGATTCCTTACTTCGACAAGGGATCCATCAGTTCCAAATAAGGCAAATTTTAAATGGAGTATTATCCAATAAGTTATTACTTCTACTAGTAATATCAACCAATGAAAAATGCGTTTATCTATAATAACAGGATTATCAACCAACCAGTAATAATAAAGTTACTTACAATGTAAGGAATATCAGCCAATCGGAAATATGTTTCTAGTTTAACAGCAAATGGTGTTATACTCATATCCCAGATGCCTTTGTCAAGTGAATGTAATACAACTGTATCTTTGGGCCAACTTTTCTTTTTTCTGGAATATATTCAAAATAATTCTATGTCAAACTTAAAGGCGCCGGTTTAAAAAAGACATTTAGAACTTTGTCATTTACATGTACGTCGTATGGCTGTACAGTTATGTCGACGGTTTAAAATTCCGTTGAGTGGGGTGGGTCAGGGTTGCAATAGTTTTTGTTTAACAGTTTAAGTGTGTGTATTGGGAGACAAACGGAAGGGCATTAACTGCCAATCAATGTATCTACAAAAATACTCACTCGGAGCAAATAACAATTTAGTTTCATTGCATATTTTAAAGTTGGTTTCACTTACACGAACGTATTTGGTCACTTCTATGATTCAACTTGATTCAAACTTGATCACAAATGTTCTAAGCGACCATAGGACGGGCCACACATAGAGGGTTCCGTGTAATGGGCCTTTTTAGCTAAATAGCGCTTTAGTTTCTCGGAAGAATTAGAATGCAAGGAAAATCACTACGTTTTCGACGAAGAAACGTAAGTTAACTAACATGGTTGCCAACTCGTATGTGGTATGGCGAATATTGCTTCCTCAATGTGTCCACGCATTAAAACTAATTAAAGTTACCGTTTAGTTAAAAGTTTATAAGCAGTTATTCCACCAATGAGAACAGTTCCGGTACCAGCTAGAATCGGCCAATGGTTGTCCTTGTTTATAAAGTCTGATAAACTCTGAAGTCTCTCCATTGTCGATTATCAATTTGATGGACGTGGATTAACTGAAAGAGGGGAATGTTTAATATACAAAAGTGCAACATTAATGACATGTGGTATAATTATAATGCATTCTATAAAGAGTAAAGCTTCATCTTGAGCTAGGGATACGCGGTGGATCAGTAAGTAAGATGTTGGCTTGCTAAACCTGGAGTTTACGTGGTCGATCCCGGTGTTGGCCTAGACAGATCATCGGGATTTTTTCGGGTGTGGTTCCCTCTTGTCGGCGGTGCAGCACCGGGACAACGTATTGCCGTTCGGATGGGACGAAAAAACGAGGCTCCGTGTACACATTGGCTTGCACGTAAAAGAATCCTTGGCAGTTGGAATTCGATATAAGAGCAGTCCGCTAGCGCCGCTGTCCGAGCAAAATTTCCTTCATAGCACATTGAATGGTGGATGCCCTAGAAAATTGTGTTCGGTTTTGCTATGCTGTCTTTTTGGATGAAATGAAATGGGGTTTAACGTCCTACTGTTCTGCTCCTATGCTGGGCTAATGAAGACGGGCATACGCCATACAGTGTGCTATGAGGGAAATTTTGCCCGGGCAGCGGCACTATCGCCTACTCTTATATCGAATTCCAACTGCCAAGTGATCTTTTACGTGCATTCCAATGTATACACGGGACCTCGGTTTTTCGTCTCATCCGAAGGACTAGACAGCTGTCCTTGTCAGGCCCTCCGTCCTGCATCACTGACAAGGGGGGAACCACGCCGACTACCACCATCAGACAACTAACTAAATACAGCACAATTGCATCACAATATTTCATATTATTTATAGCATCTCCGGGTCCAGTACACAATATTTGCCTTGAAATCAAAATAGTATTTTGTCGTATAAAATAGGATTTTATTGTGTGAAATAGGGTTTATCGTTTAAAATAGGTTCTATCGTGTGAAATAGGATTTATCGTGTGAAATAATAGGATTTATCATGAGAAATAGGATTTATCGTGTGAAATAATAGGATTTATCGTGTGTAATAGGATTTCAGGGTTTAAAGACCCTCACCATATTTGGAACAGGGTATTTTTGTTACGAGTCTATCCATTCAAGGACAATATTGGTGTCAGTCATTATCACATATGTGATAGAACTGGTTAAACACGTTCCAAATATAATTTTAACACAGAGATCATTGCTACGATAGGTGCGTAATGCAGGTTTCAACACTCGGAAGTGACGAACGCAATAGGAAAACACGAGTTAACCCTCTATATAACTGACTGAAGTGATAATAGATATATGGGCGAATTTCTGCTCACTAATAATTCCTTCGAGGACCAAAAGTTGTTGTGTGAGACCAGTGGCGGATCCAGGGGGGGGGGGGGTGACTAGGGTAACTATTCCCCCCCCCCCCCCTTTAGAGATTTAAAAAACGCAAAATCGGACAAGTTCAATTATTGGAGGCATCAGTCATCGATCAAGTCACGATCAGTAACTGAAACTCTCGCGACCGACGCCGATGCAACATTTTTTCCGAATGTCCGCGAGTTGTTGACAGTCCTTGCTGTACTGCCGATCGGAAGTGTCGAGGCGGAAAGGTCATTTTCTTGTGTACGCCGTATTCATAATTGGCTCAGGAATTCCATGGCAACCGAGAAACTATCAGACTGTGCCGTTATTGCCATGCACGGGTTCGCGATACCAGTTCCAAACGAGGACATTTGCAAAAAATTCATCGCCGCATTTCCTCGCCCAATGAAAGGATCATCACTTTTGTCTGATTGTTGCTTGTGAGTGAATGATGTGCAAAATAAAGTGATAATAAAAAAAGATATTCGTAGTATTAGTTAGGCCTAGGCTACCTGTTTCACTTACCATTCGTGTGCCTAACGCCTTTTTTGGTCTGCAGGGAAAATAAATATTCACTTATTTTGAAAAAAACTTGTCACTTTATTTCTTTGAGAACTATTGTCCAGAAGATACCTCAGATAGCACAGAATAGTTTTAACCCCTTTGGACACCCTATGCCCCCCTCCACCTTCTAGTGCTCCCGCCTTTGGTCGACCGCGCTTCGCCCCTGGCCTCTTTTCGTCACCCCCCTGGAATAAATCCTGGGTCCGCCACTGGAGACTGTGAGTATCTGACGACTGTAAGTATCTGACAATTCATGAAAAGAATTGACTGTCACTAGATAAGAGAACACGAAAGAAAAATAGAAAAAGTCCGTGCATTACCATGTTTTTATTAAGTATAGAATGAATACAAACAAGGGAATGTACGGACTATTTCTATTTTTCTCGTGTTCTCTTATCTAATGACATTCAATTACATTTTTAAATTGTTAGATATCCTCTTACAGTCTCATATTTAACAACTTTTAGTCGTCGAAGGAATTATTAGTGAGCAGAAATTCGCCCGTGTATCTGTTATCACTCGTAACCCCAGTCAGTTATTTAGAGGGATAACTCGTGTTTTCCTTTTGCGTTCGTCACTTCTGAGTGTTGAAACCTTCATTACGCATCTATGGTAGGAATGATCTCTGTGTTAAAATTATATTTGGAACCTGTTTAACTAAATGGAATTAAATAGGGTTCAACGTCCTACTGTTCTGCTCCTAAACTGGGCTAATGAAGACGTGCATACACCATACAGTGTGCTATGAGGGAAATTTTGGCCGGGCAGCGGCGCTAAGACCTACTCTTATATCGAATTCCAACTGCCAAGGGATCTTTTACGTGCACGCCAATATGTACACGAGACCTCGGTTTTTCGTCCCATACGAACGACTAGACAGCTGTCCTTGTCAGGCCCTCCGTCCTGCATCACTGACAAGGGGAAACCACGCCGAAAAATCTGGATGAACGTTCTCGGCCAATGCAGGGATCGAGTTTAACCATTCTATCACATATGTGATAATAACTGACACCAATGTTGTCCTTTAACAGTAGGCCTATTAGACCGCGCACAGCAACTACTTTCTAAATGAAACCCAAGGTATGACCAATTTAGATTTATTAAATTTTTTACCACATTGCAATAATAATGGGTGCTATAGGACCGCTTTACTAGCTAATAAACTAGGATTCACGGTGTTATATCTATTGACATTCATTCATTCAACCTTTATGTCTATATACCTATACACGACATGTACTCAAATATAACTGACACATCAAAATCTATGTTTACATTACATATATATATATATTTAAGCATTTACACGTACGTCTATATTTGCCTTCCACGCTTGATAAGAAACAGGCGGGGTCTGTGTGTTCAACTGTGTTGTGGGGGGGCGGGGCATTCCTATCAATGTGACTCCAATGTACACCGTTGAAATAAGTGAATATTTCTCGCAAACCTCCTCGGAGCTCAGAAATGAATGGTGAGGTTTATAAATACCACCACCCTTTCCCTTTAACATCACTGTTTGCCAGTGGTGCAGGAAAGAATGCCTGGACGAAAAACCGAGGTCCCGTACACATTGGCGTACACGTATCCCCTGGCAGTTGGAATTCGATATAAGAGTAGGCCTTAGCTCCGCTGTCTGGGATAACAGTGCAGGGCGTTAAACCCCATTTCATTTCATTTTATTTCCCTATAATCAAATACCTGTACATACATGTTTACTCTCTCTAGAACATTTGATACCACTTCTCATTTGAAGAGTTATCATAGCTAACATATTGTTCTTGTACGACTGATAAATGAATAATACAGACTATACTTACCGATAAGCCAACATATGCTATACCAATATTGCATTACTATTAATAAGCTATTTATCAATACAGCCCTTAGTTGAAACACACAATGTAGTCGATAGATACCCAGTACTACGCGACATGAGTCTTGTCAACAAGGTCAAATCACAGGTCATGGTATAAACATATTACATGCAACATGGTTATTATATAATACCATTGTTAATACTGTAATAAATCCATATCCATTTTAGGTTATTATAATCTGGTCTGGTTATATGGCCTTGACTTACCTTTCACCGTGTCATAAAATATAAAATGGAGTTGTTTCACTGATTGTCTCCCTTGTCAAATTTAAGGAGTAAGGCTACTAATTATTTACTACCACGGAAAGAGCCTAGTATGATATCTCAGTTATGTGATAAATATGTTGCAGGTGGTTGGCTGGTTGCGCTGTTCATACCTCCCTCAACCTGTCCCTCTTTTTTTTTTTACCAAAACAATTCAATGTCACATTTTTTCTGGCTTAGTTAGAACAGTGGAGGAAGATTTATCCAAATCAACGCGAAAATGCACCAGCGTATCTACCGTTTTAGAACCTTTCTGGCGATGAAATCTGCTAAAACGTCTTTGAAATATACACTGTCAAAATATTTTGGACATGTTCCTGAAAAATACTTCACTCTAAGTAGCCCAATGAATAGGAGAACATTTAATATTTGTTATTTTTCAAAATTTATTACATATAATTTCTTGGTGATATTGATCATTTCTCTTTAAAACTATGAATTTCTTTCGTTAATGTCAGAGCTGCTTTGAAATTTTTTTTTCCTAGGGTCCATTTTCTATACCAAAAACCTTATTTGTCTTTTGAGAGTATTTCTTCAATGAGGATTTCTCCTCCTTCTTCTATTATTGTATAACGTCCGCTTCCACCGATGGTGATATTGCAGACAAGTTGTTTTTATTTTATTATGGTTAGCGCATGCACGCGCAGGGGTCTTTGCTGTGGGAGGAAACCGGAGTACCCGGAGTAAACCCACGAGCTTGAGAAAGCGCGCCTATCTCCAAGCCGCATACGCTCACACAGGGGTTCGGAACCACGAGCGCAAACCAGAGGTAATTGCTCAGCTAGAGTTCGTGCATAGCTGGAATTAAATGGATCACGGGGGACAACTCCGGTACAACTAATTTACCTTTTGTTTGGGATCAAACCACTAATTGCTGCGTAAGCAGAATATAAGAGTGTTATGTGAGTTAAATAAGATAAACATTTTCTGTCTGTTCTCCCCTTTTGTTTTGACCATGAACCTATGGCATGATTTTAATTATAAGGCTTAGGTAAATAAAAAAAAGGGGGATCAGTACATAAACAGGTGTGTAGTTTGGGAATTCTGCTTGAAAACCGTATTAGCAATATAGTCAGTCTCGATTATCCATTTTATTATTAAATGGCGAAGATGTGCTGACTCATTCAATATCGAAGAAGAGCGTAGTCTCGATTTCCATTGCTATACCATTGTTACGATAAAAAAAAACAGTCTCGGATATCCACTTTTAACTTAAATTGTTAAAGGAGCATTATGGATTAGATAAAGAGTTGACAGTTTTTGAATTTTAGACTAGCCTCGATCATCGTTACTAAAGTCGGAACGATAAGAAAAACAACAGAGTTTCGATTATCCATTTTTATGTTTAACTTTTTTTCAAAAATTGTATCAGCTAAATATCGCAGGCTAGCGATGGCATCGAGAGTTCATTAAGGTCTGGATAATTAATAAATTAGATAACATTTCAGGCCTAAAGAAAGGCCTGCAATAGGCAGATTTAGCTCTTGCATAATGTATGTTTAAATGGCGATCGTGTTTCAATCCATACAATGGTCTAGGGAGTTGATTATGGGCTTGTCATATGAATAATATCTAAATATCTAAATAATAATTTATATAACATTTGACGCTTGAAACAGGACCTGCAATAGGCAGATTTAGCTCTTACATAATACATCTTTAATACATCAGTTTAGACAGTGAAAAGGCTGGCTTGATTTCATTTTGAAAAAAAAAAAAACATTATTTTTCTTGAAAAAATGGGTCTTACGAGAAAACAGAACACAATCAAGGCAGTGGGTTAATCAGATGTAAATACAAGAAACATGATTTATTAATGTCATTTAGATAGTAATTTAGAAGATTAAACCAAAAACATGTAAGTTATATTACACCTTCATGTCGAGGATTTAAATCAAATACTTGTATATCGCAAAGCACTACAGATGAACATAAATCGCACAGTGAGTGAAACAAATTCCAAATAAATGAAATGGGATTGAACTTATTACTTTTCTGCACCAATAGATAATATGACGATGGGAAATCAATACACTTCATATGGCCAAAACAATTATGGGGCTAAGACCAATTGATGTAAGAGTAATTTCTTGTGGTCTTAAAGAAGTTATACCTATTTATTTTAGGTTACAATGTGAATAAAATTAAAGCTAGGACATGCTCTTTGCGATTAGTTTTGGATTTGAACTGTCTACTGCTGAACACAAAGTCTCAACATTGTCAATATTTGGGTACCAGTAATTAAAAATAAATATTACAAAAAAACACCATAGAATGAGGTTGACTCTTCGCATAACAAATCAACACAATAAATTTTATTTATACGACACAAGAAAATAGTCTCACATAAAACGTATATTAGGTCAAACATTATTCATATGTGCTATTTGAAGTGGGCGTTAGTTTGTATTGACTTTGTGCGGAATTCTTATTCGTCTATAAATAATGGATTGTGATATTTGATTTGCGTCCGTGTTGTGTTTTCGATTCCCCGCTTGTACGTGACAAGGAGTAGGATCGTCTGGCCAACCTTGTGGGGTTTCTCCTGGTCTTCCGGTTTCCCCCCACTGCTAAAGACCACTACGCGTACCCGAATTATTGAAATAAGATTGAACCTTATGTTGGTCCCAAAACGACCTAGTTTGTGTCGAGTGGACGTTAAACCCCATTTCTCTCACTCGCTCAGCTCTTACTCTTAATTTGCATCCACTAACATCGACATCAACATGTTGCTTAACCTGCATTTTCTTTGTTTGATCTTTTAAATGTAGACTATCCCTTTAAAAGCCCACGTGGTAAGTAAATGGGTTGAATGGCAGGAAACACGACAGGTGTGGTATGATGCTATGAATGATATGGGCTAATATAGATGTTGATATAGTTTAATTATTACACAGTAAAGGCATGCCAAGCTGATATAATATATCTAAAAAGTAAAGAAAAAAATTGTAATATTTTATTGTATAATTAAGCACATTTGAGATTGTTTTTAATGAAGGATGAGCTGACTTGTACGAAATATATTATGTCGGAAATGTCATACTTTCTTTCATCGAAGACATATATAAAGACGACGGTATGAAATTAAACCCAATGTAAACTGTACATGTCAATATAATTTGATTTGGATTTAATCGATTTGAATAATTTTCTATATATTTACCCAAACTGATCCGCAGTAAATAGTTGCTTTACCGCTGGTAAACGGGTTGATTCTATACTATTTATTTGCCCTCTATTTTGTACTATTTACCATTAATTCTATATTGACCCTCTATTCTATATTATTTATTTCAACTCTATTCTATATTATTTGCCTTTAATTTTACATTTTTTCCTTTATTCTATATTATTTACCATTAATTCTATATTTGTCCCCTATTCTATACTATTTACCATTAATCCTATTTCTGTCCTTTATTCTATATTATTTACCACTAATTCTGTGGGTTGGCCTTGATATGTTATTTCGTTTAATGATTCTTTATACTATATTATTTACTATTAACTATATTTGTCCTTTATTCTATTCTATTTTCCATTAATTTCATAGCTGACCTGTATTCCATGTTTACCCTTATTAATTCTATAGTTGCCCTGTATTCCATGTTTCCCCTGTATTCCATGTTTCCCTTTATTCTATATTATTTACCATTAATTCTATAGTTGCCCTGTATTCCATGTTTCCCTTTATTCTATATTATTTACCATTAATTCTATAGTTGCCCTGTATTCCATGTTTGAGATCACAGTGGCTATGTGGGTAAGACGCTGGTTCGCTAGCCTGGAGGTCGGGTGTTCGATCCCTGTATTGGCCGAGAAAGTTCATCCAGATTTTCCGGCGTGGTTCCCCCTTGTAAGTGATGCAGGACGGAGGGAATGACAAGTACAGCTGTCTAGTCGGTCGAATGGGACGAAAAATCGAGGTCCCGTGTACATATTGGCGTGCACGTAAACGATCCCTTGACAGTTGGAATTCGATATAAGAGTAGACTGTAGTGCCGCTGTCCGGGCAGGGCAAAATTTCCCTCATAGAACACTGTATGGCGTATGCCCGTCTTCATTAGCCAAGTTCGGAGCAGAACAGTAGGACGTTAAACTCCATTTCATTTCATTTGTTTTGTTTTCCATGTTTACCCTCTATTCTATATTACTTACTATAATTTATCCTTTATTCTATATTTACCTTGTATTCTAGCGAATCGGGCCTTTAAATACAACCATGAATGCAGCATTAATTGTTTTTCTCTGGGTTGGCCTTGTTATGTTATTTCGGTTATTGATGGGGAAATACGGTCAAAATATTAGATTTGACTGGTATCGAGGATGTTCAATTTTGGTCGTATGTAAAATCTGGATATTTAATCTACCATGTGATTGCTGAGATATAGATTTATATGTCAATTTATGACTCTAATGAGAACCTTGTTTTCTTATAACAGTGACTGGGTGAAATGGGGTTTAACGCCCTGTTAGTTTTCTGCTCCAGCTGGTCTAATGACCACAGGGAATAAATACACTTCAAATGGTCACGTTTAATAACCATAGGAGGACCAAACTACACAATTAACTGGAAACACAGAAGAGAGACAACGAGGACGGGTCAAGAAACGTGGACATTGCTGTAAGTCATAAAAACGCCGTCAAGTCAAGCGTGTGATTAAATATCGCAAAATATCTGTTTCGAATTTTGATTATCAGATGGGGAGCGTTAGGTTACTTTCCCAAGCGGTATGTTCCAATATTAATTACACTTATTTGGTGAGTCATAGTGTCTCTTTAAGCTAAGCCAAATTATTATATGTTTTTTTATATATACCTGTCTGAATATTTTTAAAGCTGTAGTGTAACATTATACTTATTCGACATGACAAGCTGAATCCTTTTAATCTGTTCAGGTCAGAACTTAAATACCTGTAGGGTCAAATACCTGTCGTTTCTGTCAACTACTATTACAAGTTCACTTTGTAAATGCTAGTAGTTTAACCCCTAAGTGTACTCTCGACAAATTACCTATAGCTAAAGAGACGGGCCCTCTCTGTCCAGTCAGTGAATACATGTATATTCTTAAAGTTACAACCTGTTACCCAACAAACTGACTGGATGGAGAGAGGGAGAGAGAGAGAGAGGGGGAGAGAGAGGGGGGGGGGGCATTGCCTTATAACAACTCGACCACCCCCAACCCTGGGTATATTGAAATCTATCCGAGAAGTCTTTGATATTACCATGCGTATTGAAATGAACCATACATTTCCGAAAAGCTTTATCGGTGTATCGACTTTTGATTAATGTGTCAATGAACCTATCCAGTTCAGCATAGGCACTCAAAGTGATGATGGTTATTTAACATGTTTAAGAGGTGCTTTGAATGGTATTTTCTAGAATACATCCGGAGTACCAAGCCACCAGAGTCTGCAAACTATCAAAGTGCATTCTTACCAATTTATCCAAAATGATGTACAATCAAGACTAAAATGGGCCCACAACTACGTCAGAACATTAACTATACTTTGGGGGTCACGGAGCCTCTGATACTCGTAAACTGCTTTTCAATACATCCATGGGATATTAAAAAGCATAGAAATATAAATTAGTACTATTATGTTTGTCTGAAAATGGCCGAACATTGTGTTACCGAAACGTTAAAGTGAATGGTCTATCCAGTTCTATATTCAAACTATAAATAAACGCCACACTATATTCAATATTTAGTCAATTGACTAAACTTTATTGCGTGGTTATTAATGCTTTAAAATAAGTTTGATCTGTGATTTGCGGCCGATTCGTTAATTTGTTTAGTGAAATCGGTATTTTTCCATCTTTAAAATTGCACGGTTATTCATCAGACAACAATCAAAATTGAACCTTAAATTACACGACGAAATAAAAATTAAAGCGTATGGGATAATTATGTCATTTCTGTTCGAAAAAGATAAGTCAGAACTATCCAAATCAACAAATTAATTTGAGGTCTTCATAAAGATGCATTGTGTGAGAGCTATATCTGCCTATAATAATGTATAGATCTTTCTTTTTGAAACAACTATCTAAAGTTGTCAGTTTTATTTCGTTAGGCGACCGTACAAGCTTCCAAATTTAAGTTTCAGTAGTGCCCTGGTGATAACAACATGTGGTTGGTTGCCTTCGTGTGGTTGTCACATTATCATCACAACCAACAGACCAAAATTGGAATCGGTAGTGATATGATATGAAATGGGGTTTAACGTCCTACTTTTCTGCACCAACCCAATTCGTAGGAGTAAACCATTTTCAAGCAATTTTGGAGATCGTTTCCGAACGGCTCAATAGATGAAGTCAAATGTTTAATAATATATTATAAACCATCACATGACATCTTGTTGTATGATTTATACACTGAAACCTATCTGTAGGCCTATCGTAGCAACGAATACTCTATTTAATCTGGGATTACGCCTTTAAGCATTTCTTCAAGTGTTAACACGTGAGCCGCGACATCAAAGTGAAAATGTTTACAAGTTAGTTATATCTATTTACAGAATTTATTTTTTAAAATAGATTTCTTTCAGTTAGATACTTTGGATATTTTTTTAAAACTTTTCTTTGATTTATGTACGGTTTTTTTTCGTTTTTTAATTTTAATATTATTTTCGCAGCTGCTTACTTTACTTCAGTCAGTCAGTGATGGAAATAAATTCGCTGAAAGGTTCGTTTACCTTTCTCATTGTCACTGGAACGAAAATCTGAAGTCCCGTGTACACATTGGCGTGCACTAAAAGAAGCCTTAGAATTTGATATACGTATGAGTATAGTGCCGCTGCCCGGGCAAAATTTATTTGAGAGCAAGATGTATGGTGTATGCCCGACTTCATTAACCCAGTCGGGCAGGACAGTGAGACGTTAATACCCCCCCCCCTCCTCCTTTTAATCATTTTTCGATTGAATAGCGTTATTTTGAAGTTCCCTGGAAACCACGAGAATGTTCTAAATGGTACCCAACTTGTTAAAACGGTTGGGATGAATGTGGGATCGCATTCGATGGTATATATTATTTTATTATATTCTCAGACTTCCCTGACATTTTGATAGAGATTTCATTTCGAAGATTATTTTCTTGTCCTTGGGATGTGCCGACAACCAATTTAAAAGTTGAGTTTAAAGTTACTTATTTCTATGTAATAAACTGAAATACCCCACCCCATGCATGCCCATCTGATTACGCCATTCTTAAAGTACTATAGCATAGTCATACAGCCCTCCACATTTCTAAACAAAACAGGTGTGTGTGTGGGGGGGGGCGGTATCGTGTGATCAATAGAAACTAATGTAAACTTCAAATGGCTATAAGATTGATTGATGGACTTGAATAAGTGTTGAACCAATATATATTTATCGGTAAGAGCTATAGACATTTGGCTGTTGTACTGGTTTGTTTAATGTACCCGTCTTCATTAGCCCATAGTCGGAGTAAAACAGTAGGACGTTAAACCCCATTTCATTTCATTTGTTTCATTAACTTTTGTGGGATAAAAGAGAAGAAACAATATGCACATTGAAGTAAATATCTTTAGAAATAATGTGAAGAGAACGAAATTAAAAATGGCGATGAATTGAAATAAATATCTTTTGAGGAACGACATTCAAAGCACCTGCCGCGAGCTAAAAGGAGAGGGTTAAATAGGAATTGTTTAATCTGGGATTTATGGTTTGAACTTTGACCTCGATCCCGTAGTTTATATAGAGATGTATTGTGATCTAGCCTGTATGCGTTCTCTTGTTCTTGCTCGATTCTCTTAAAGCGACTTCCCTACATTGGCTAACGCTCCAGGTTATTTATTTTGCAGTGTCACAAATACCATTATTATTATCTGATATACCTTGAATATATTCCTTTAAAATAACTACCTAATTTATACGACCTACAGAAATGTTTATCACCTGAAAGAATGCCATTTTTAACCGGTAGTAAAAATGAAAATATAGACCCCAGGTGCATAATAATGCGCAATATATTAAATTACTTATTAAATGTAAAACGTCAGTCTGTGTATACGTGATCTAACCTATATCTTATTTTTGTTTCATTTATTCTATTACTTATTCTAGTAACATTAAATACATGTATAAGAAAACTGAATATTCTAGGACTGTCATGACAACAGTTGCCTTTGCCTTGGTCAGACAGTCAGTCAATTATCCGCGGATAACAAAACTAAACGCGTTTCGGGAGATTTCACGGAAATTTCAGTATTACGGGTTTTAATTGGTACGTTGATCTTTAGCTGACCAATCACAAGCTGTGCACTCCTGTACGCCCCTCATAATTATTTGGACCAAGATGATGACCAAGATCAGATATCCATTGTAATGTTTATGCTGTCGACTGTTGAGGATATTCTAAATGTTCCATACATTTATCTTGTCCCTGTGCGTCACTATTGGGAAAATTTGATGTGACAGCATCGGGTTACCTTCACATTGTGAAGATACCGATTGACGATTGTTCTATATAATGTTACATGTGTAATGCTCGCGCATTGTCTTATTTATTTACGTAATCATTCAATTTGGTCTATGTTAGAATATTAGTACTTGAATTATTAGATTGAATTTAATTTCAAATTAGGTCTTTTGAAATAGGACTACATTTTGTTTGTTTATTTTGTTTAAGGGAATTGATATACGTGTATATGGGAAATTCACTTTAATACTGCGGTGTGCGTCTTTGTATTAAATTTACGAATCTATGTGACGATCCTCTCGAAATATCTTTATTAGAAAAACACGAAATAAAAACGGCCACCACTGGACCAATAGAAAACGTCAAATATTATGGAACACTACTAATGTCAAAAACACTGAATGGAAACAGATGTTTTGAAAGCGATCAACATTAAAGTCTTGCAATATGTTCAGTTTTCGTGGGACTTTTAGATAAGACCTTGTGGGGAAAAACGCATTTGTGTAAATGATTCCTACAGTATATTCCAAAAATCCGAAAAGGGACAACTTGGGAATGGATTTCTTCAAAATCACGCCACAACATTAACTCCCCCATAAATTGACTTTTCCAAAACATCACTCTTGCAGACATCAGTGCATCGACGAATAAATTGGAATTTCTCTTCCACAATTTGGTAAACAAAGTTTAAAAAATGTGTATGAATTGAAAGTGAATTATGTGGTTTGTTAATTCGATTTATTTTACTATTTATACAATTCCTCTAATTAAGTGAAAACCGGGTGTAATGTTTTATCATTGTGTGATTCCTTGCGCTTGAATTTTTTTTTTTTTTTTTTATTCCACAAAACAGGGGGATCACGTGGCTAAGTGGGCAAGAGGCTAGCTCGCTATCCTGGTGGTCGGGTGTTCGATCCTTGCATTGGCCGAGAAAGTTCATCCAGATTTTCCGGCGTGGTTCTCCCTTGTCAGTGATGCAGGACGGAGGGGCTGACAAGGAAAGCTGTCTAGTCGTTCGGATGGGACGAAAAACCGAGGTCCCGTGTACACATTGGCGTGCACGTAAAAGATCCCTTGGCAGTTGGAATTCGATATAAGAGTAGGCCGTAGTGCCGCGCGCTGTCCGGGCAAAATTTCCCTCATTGCACACTGTATGGCGTATGCCCGTCTTCATTAGCCCAGGTTAGGAGCAGAACAGTAGGACGTTAAACTCCATTTCATTTCATTTCATTTCCACAAAACAGAAAGACTTGATCTATTTTTGGCAGTGCTGGTTGTCCATAATTACAGCATTTCACCTATTTCCGCTATAAAAAGTTAGTTGAGTTGTGAGGAGTATCGTAGTGGTATCTTGATGTAGACTGGATTAATAGATTTTCACATGAGGTACGTGATTCATATTGCTTATATTTTTAGTAACTAATCTTTATGTCACAAAAGTTTCGACTATTTGACGCGATCAGCGGACAATCACCATTGTTATATCTCGTACTTATTATAGCAGACACGAGGTCTATGGTAGTCGATGTCATTGTTTTGTGTGTTGAGTGGGCCGAGAATTCTGAATGTTATAGCCTACTTATAAGACAGCATTTCGTACTATAGTCTTGAAATGAAATCTGTTGTTCTTGCGATGAATTTAAGTCATAAAACAGGAGATTTACTCAACTGTCAAAAACCTACACCACGTTTAATAACCTCCCTGATAAAAGCCTCCCGTAACACAAACAATCCAATTCTAGCCTTACAAAAATGCATTTTTTGTGTGATTTTCTGAATGATTATAATGGGAATCTTGATTTATCCGATTCTCTCTTTTATGCCTGGGCAGTCTGGAACTTCTGTGTTAATTAAATGTTAATAGAGCTACCAAAAGGACGCTATCAAAAAAGGAGTTTCCAAATTTCTGAATCAGTCCTTGTGATATGCTGTCATGGGTGTTCAAATTAGATTATATTATGGACGATTTGAGAGAAATATGAAGATACAGTTTTTGAATTCATGACTCTATCAGGACAGATAGTTATATTGCACTGGGGGATATAGAGAAAGACTATACAATACTTATTAGTATTTATAACTTTAACATAGGTTTGCCAAAAAAAACACATTATACACATATTTACTATTATGTAAGTCTTATATTTACAGTGAAATAACTGTTTTTCCTTATGCTGGGGAAATAAACAATTGCTCAAAGACCCCCACCGCCACCCCCGGTCTTTATCATATAACCAGAAGCTCCAACATGATGAAATATACATCGCTAGCTACATGTTTGAAAGGAAATTAGGAGGTTTAACATCCTAATCTTCTATTTAATGAAGATGGTACATGCAGTGTTCGATGAGGAAAATTTTGCCTACTTATTTCAAATTCAACTGTAAAGGGTTCTTTTGCATGCACACCAGTGCGTACACAAAAGATCTCAGTTTTTCAACCCCTTTGAATGACTAAGACACTTTTTCTTGCCAGGTCCACCATCTTGCACCACATTCCTGGCTAACACCAGGATCAAACTCGGGACCTCCAAATAGTGTACCAGCACATCACACACTAGAACTCTTTCTAGAACACCCGATACCACTTTTATATATTTTGTTCAATAATCACAGATCAAAAAAACATTTTGTATAAAAGATAATAAGGAAATCGGGATGGTGACATTTAGGTATTATCAGGCAAGTATGTTAAACAAGTCACTCCTTACAGGAAACTACAAGCTTTCAACTTAATAAATTTTATCCTACTGACTTGGTCATAATAAAATGTTGTCAAAAAAAAGTATGCCCACAACTTTTCAACTTTCAACTTTTTTTTATTTGCATATTACGTCCATTAAGAACAGTATACAAAACATACACATACAAGCCGCAATCAATTTTGTGGTCCTTACTATGAAATGGTGAAGTTTAGAGAAATTCTGTCCTCTATTTAGTTATCAATAAAATTAAGTATTAAAAGTTTGAATCCATATGCTGGATCCAGTGACGGATTACCCTTCAGGCTATTAAAGTCATGATTTAGATCAGTGGTTCTCAACCTTTTTTTTGCCAACGACACACCTTGGAACTCATGAAAAAATAGCCGCACACCTTGCAATTGGAACTCATGACAAAATAGTTGCACACCTGGCTAAATATTAACTATATATAAAAAATATCTGAATATAGATGAATTTTGCAAAATAAAAACATGGCAAGTCAAAGACGGAATACAACCATAGACACAGACACATAGAATGACTCAAACTAAATAAAGAAAAACACAACTATGAACTTACTAAACTTTATTGATATGTTTCGAATTTCATCGGTCAAATAGCTGGCTTCTTTAGTGAGAAATTTTCTTAGTGTCCCATTCAGTATTTCGCGGCACACTTAGGAAGATCTTGCGGCACACTGGTTGAAAATTACTAATATAGATGTAGTGCCACACAGGCTTTAAGGGGTCCCATGGTCTCTGTAAGTAATGTCAAGGCTACACATCTTCATTAAAGATACATTATGGGAGATTCGATAACGAGTTGGCAGTCCTCGCAATAATAATAGATAATGTAAAGGCAATTTGCTGAAAATTTCATTCAAATTGATCCACTATGAACCAAGAACTAAGCGATTGAAATTTCTGCATAGCCTCGATCATCATTACTGAAGTCAGTACGATAAACAGCATAGTCTCTTATCCATTTAATCGTTAAATCGTGAAGGAAAGTTATGCAGTAAATCGACTTATAAACCACTAAAGATCGCAGGCTAGCGATGTCATCTAGAGTTGATTATGGTTTGGATACCTGTAGGTTAATTAATGTCTAATTAATAATTTAGATAACGTTTCAGGCTTAAAGAAAGACCTGCAATAGACAGATTTAGCTCTTGCATAATGTATGTTTAATCATAAATTTTCCTTTGTTTCCAAAAAAAAAAAGAAATAATTTTTATGTACCTTGCACAAGCTAGTATGTACAGTCAATCTTAGTCAGATGTTCATTGATATTCAGTGTCTTCACGCTGTTAAAGCATATAAGAATTCCACTGACCATCTTTAAATCAAATTTAGCTATTAAGCAAATGTTTTTATTTAATAATGGTATTTGAGGCCATCAATTTAAGATATTGTTGAGGTTTAGTATAAGGTCAGCGTCATTGTAACTTGAGCCTTAAAGGGCCAATTCCGATAATATTTTGGAGAATAAAAACTGCTTAATTTTGTGTTACAATCCTCTACCCTAGGGTCGAGCATCTAACTCAATATACGTGATACATTTTCAAACAGCTTAAACCTGTCAGTCTTCATCTGGAAATGGAGACCGGTGTCACAAGCTGTATTATGAGGTGTCCAGATAAAACCAGACTTTTATTTTATAAAAATAATATGTAGGTGAAATTTACCTTTTGTTATCAAGTACAACACATGGTTCATTCAATTATAGACCTCTAAAGGAACGGGATTCGTTTATCAGGTCACCCAACGCGAAATCTTAAAAGGGTTACGTGTCCAGATAAGCAGTTTTGACGTTCACATCCAAACGACTCAACATTTTGAGCTAAAATTTTGAGACAAGGTAAATATACCATTCCTCTATATTTTGGCGCTTAAATTTCATACCTACTCAAACTTTTATTTTTGGGACTCTGTTCAAATCGGGATAGTCCCTTTAAAGAAACTACTGTATAAAAATCCCACCTTGCACCCCCATGCCCAATCATAATCAATATTTGTGATGTATTATAACAGGTTATTAATTTTATAATTGGTCTGATAAAAGAAAATTATTGATATTCACATTGATACATAACACCAGGGATGCTTCATTCATATACTGGTTATTCCAATAAATTAAACATAACTCAATATATTACCATGGTGATTTTGTGTGCTCTAATAACCAGTGAGGGCAATATCAACAACATCCTTATATCATCCATCAGCACAAACTAATTTCACATCCATCAAAGAAATTAGAATGAGTTTTGGTTAACAGGGCAACTGGTCGGAATAGAAGTCAGATTTATTGAGACATTATTGGTTTTGAGATTTTTGATAGTGGGTCAAAAAACAAAATAGTTCTCAATTCGTAGTGATTTGACATCAGGGGTGTTCAAATTAGATTGTATACCAAATTTCAAATACGTCTGTCAATCCATACATTTGCTGAGATATTTCAACATTTTAAGTTTTGATAGAAATATAAGCCTTACAGTATACCAGTACTGGTAAGTTTAGCAGATGTTTGTGTAAAATGCAATGTTTGTATTTTCAATAATTATCAGAGTTTAGGTTATTTTGACTATGATATACATGTACATACATGTAAAATTACTTTCATTTATTTTGTTGTTGAAAGTGATAGTGATTCTTTAAAACATATTTTTTGTTATCGCCAAGTTGTTTGATTCAATCCTAAAACAATGTTATAAATGTACAAATCATGAAGCACTTTGTACATGTAAAGTTGTCCAGATAGAGAAATTAATGAGTTGAATTGAGACAAGAATTATTTTATATGGAAAGGTGCACAGTAAAAGTTTCTAAGAGTTTGACTTAAGATGAGTTTTTGAGAGGGAAAGCAATCACTCTCTTTTGATTTCTGGAGCCATGGTGACTCACTGATTAGAATGCTATCTCAAAAACCAGGCGATACATGTACAGAATTCAATCCCCAAGCAATTTTTTTTTGGGGGGGGGGGGCTGAATTGTTTTGAGTGAGCGCGCTGTATCATAAGGTCTGTCATTGAGTCAATTGGTGTGGTTTCGATTCCCCGGTTGTACATGACAAGGAGAGGGTTTTCTCCAGGTCCTCCGGTTTCCTCCCACTTCTAAAGACCTCTACATGCCAATGAATTGAAATAAAATTGAACCATATGTTAGTCCAGAAATGATGTAGTTGGTGTCGAGTGGACATTAAACTAATGTAAATCTCTCTCTCTCTCTCTCTCTCTCTCTCTCTCTCTCTCTCATTTTTTCCTTGTCAGTGAGAGGGCTTGGCAAGGATCAGTGTCTTAGTCTTCAGATGAGACAACAGACAAAAGAACTCTTGACAATGTAATTAGAAATAAGGGTACACTAGTCTCCATTAGTTCGGTTGATGCATCCAATTCTTTTGATTTCATGCATATGAAAGGAAACAAATAGTCTCCACCATTCTAGTAAACTGTGAAGTGAACATAACTCCCGAGAGATGACAGTTATAATAAATCAATTTTCTATCAATATGTCTAGAGTGGTGATGAACTCCATTATTCTATTATTAAATAATAATTTTCTGATTATATCTGTGATTGACGACTAGTAATGATTAATGGATCAAATGGCAACGAACTCCCAAGCATCATTATTTTTACTGGAATAGTCTGGTTTTTACTGGCATCTAATTCACATTTTCA